ATTTAATTGAAGAATATCAGAATAATCGAAATTTCGTAAAATTAAATTGTAAACAAAATAATTTGAAATTCAGAAATTCAATTATGTTAGAATTTTTTTCAAAATTCTCGTAAAAATTTCAATTATCTTTATAAATAAAAAATAATAATAAATAAAAATCATCTATAAAATTCAATTATTTACAAAATTTTAATAAAATTCTTGTCAAAATTTCAATTATTTTCTAAAAATTTCCTCGCAATTCAATTATTTTTAATATCTGGAATCTAGGTACTATTTTACTAAAAATCCTCCAAATTATTTAATTATTTTTAAAAAATTTTGATAAAATTCTACGCAAGAATTTAATTATTTTCAAAAATAATAAAAACAGGAATTCAATTATTTACAATTTTTTTTATAAATTTCTTCGCAATAATTCAATTATTTTTATAAATAATAAAATTCTTCTCAGGAATTCAATTATTTTCATAAATAAAAAAATTCTTCTCAGAAATTCATTTATTTTTCAAAATTTTAATAAAATTCTTAACATGATTTCAATTACTTTTATATAAATAATAAAATTCTTTCTAGAAATTCAATTATTTCTAATCTATTTTAAACGAATTCCTTGGAAAATGGAATAAATTGTTCTTACAAATTTTCTGAAAATTCTTTGCAAAACTTTCAAATATTTTAAAAAATTTAACTAAATTCATTACTTTTATTTATTTATTTTAATTAAATTTTTAAAAAGAATTTAACTATTTAAAAAATTTTCAATAAAATTCTACAGAAACATTTAATTATTTTCATTAATAATAAAAATTTCACAGAAATTCAAATATTTACAAACTTTATATAAATTTCTTATCAGTAATTCACTTATTTTCATAAATAATAAAACTCATCGCAAAATTTCAATTATTTTATTTGTAATACAATTTCAATCAAATTCTTCCAAAAATGTAATAATTTAAAAAATTTTATTAACATTCGACGAAAAAATTGAATTTTTTAACATTTTGTTGATAATATTCTTTATGAGAATTAAATTTTAAGAAACTTTCAATTATTCAATAAATTATTTATTTTTGTATTTAAATAACTAAATTCTCGTAGAATTTTCTAACAAAAATTGATTTAAAAATGAATTTTAGTTTAAATTTTATATAATAATTGAATATTAAAAGCATTATAGCGTGAATATTTAGAAATTGAATTTTGAAAAGGTTTCAAATAAAAATTTTTGAAAATTTAAGTTTTTTATACTTTTAACAGACAATTCTGTAGCATTAATTTTTTTTGAAAAAGTCTAATTGAATTTTTTTCTTGAAATAATTTGAATTTTGTATTTTCTAATATATATTTAACTGAAGAATTTCTGAATAATCGAAATTTCGTTATATTTCGTAAAATTGAATTTTAAAAAAATAGATTTGAAAATTTTGAAAGAACTTTTTCCAAAATTTTTAAAAATATTTGATTTAAAGAAGAATTTTAGTTAAAAATTCTAGAAAATAATAATTAAATTGAAACGATGAAAATAATTTTGAAGAATTTACAGTTACAATATTCTTATAATATAAAATAGACTCGGAGTGATCGATATCTTTATGTTTTATAACAAATATTCTTATATGTTATTGAATTTCAAATTTTAGAAAATCTTAATTTTTATAAAAAAAAATTGATTAAATATTTATTTAAAAATGAAGTTATTCATGTTTTCGAATAATTTTTGTTTTTAAAAACCTGGAAAAATTCAGTTTTTTAACCTGTAAAACCTAGAAAAATCAGGGACTTTTAAAAGAGCAAAAGCGTGGCAACTTTGAGAATATTATTATATATTTATTTTACTATCATAATATAAAATATTTATTCGACACTAAAAAGAGAATTTAAATACAGAGAGAAAACCTATTCAAAACTTTCACTAATAAATTATAAAATAGTTAATATATAGTTCGATTTTCTACAATAAAATTGGATAAAATAATAGCCAATTGCCCAGTTCTCTCTGCTCTCTACTAATATTTTGGATATGGCGCGGCTGCAGACACTTTTCCAAAAAGACTGAAAATTGTTCGAGGCACAACCGCGCCAAAAATAAACCCGGTCTCTCTCTCTCAAGAGAATACTCGGTGAATTTCTTACCCGCCAGTGTAGTAAACGTCGAGAGCTATTCTACATATTCGATTACTCCAATACCGATTCACATAATTACTAGTTAGATCAGAGGTAAGCGACTTCACCCACGTGATGAATGTTATTGATTCGAGAGTCTTTTAGACCATTCACTATGACAACACCAAAAAATTTTTTTTTTCACCTCAAATCTATTACCTAATAAATTCACCTTAGCCATTTAAAATAAGTGTTTATAAAAACAATATTTCAAAATTGATAATAAATAATAAAATATGCAATATACGACTCCTTTATTATTAGCTACTTCGCTATTAGCTACAATATCAATTTATCAATCCGAATTCAAATAAAAATCAAATATTGAAGCAAAATAGAATTTTAGTTAGTTTTTCTAAAATTTTATTTATTTTATAAAATTTTAGTTAGTTTTTTTGAACAAATTCAATCTGTCTTATAAAATAAACACTTATTTAATCAATAATCTTCTTTACGACTCACGAAATAGAAAGTATCCCAAGCAGCTTTTAATATTTTTGAAGCATGATGAAGAATTTAACATGATAATAATAATAATAATAATAATGTAATTTACAAGCAAAAGTTCTTTGTTGAATTAAAAAAAAATAATAATAATAATGTATAATAAGAGTGTAGATTGTGACCGATATTTACAACCTGGAGGCTGTAAAATCGCGAGTTAAATTAACGAAGAAAAAGACGAGGTAACTCGATCTTGTCGAGTAAGCATTTCAGCAGCACAAAGCGCACACACGTGCCTTCGTTTTTTTTTTGCAAAATTGTTATTATTATTATTCTCAATTGCAAAAAATACTATTCAGTGAATTTTTCTGCTTATCAAAATTCCATTGCATTAATCAAATTTTTTATTCCAAGAAAAACTATTTTTAAATTTTGCTTTCTGAAGCAGTATATAAATGCATACATGAAAATAATATATATGAAAAATATAATATATTTTTATACAATTTTATAGAAATGCATTTAATTTAAAAAAATTTGAATTAAATAAACGATTACTTTATGAAATAAATATTTATTTGTATCAAGGAATTTTTAAACAACTTAACTTATAATTTAACTTACACTGAAAACAAAATTTGATTTAAATACCCGATTACTTGACTATTATCAATTAAATATTTACTTGAATAAAATAATTTTTATTTGAGTCAATCAAATGGTATTTTGAACCTATAATATCAGTATTTAAAGCAAAAATATTATTTGACTCAAATAAAAATGATTTAATTCAAGTAAATATTTAATTGATAATAGTCAAGTAATCAGTTATTTGAATCTAATAAATTTTTTTTCAGAGCAACTTAACAGAATGTGAATGTTGGATCTCAATATTAGTTTTTCAAAAAATTTTTTTGATGAACAGTCAAAGCAAAAAATTTTCCAATGTCTCTTTTAATAATTTTAAAATAAAAATAAAATAGAAATTGAATTTTAAATCAGGTTTAGTGGAAGAATAAAATATTTAATTTCTGGTTTTTTAAACAATTTAAAGTTGCATTTGAATAAAAATTACAACTTTTTGTCATTGAAAAATATTTGTTAAATTTTAGGTTACGTTATCTAAATCGTTTCTTGGTAACAAAAATATAATTTTTATTTAAATGCAATTTTAAATTGTTTAAATTCGATGGAAATTAAGTTCTTTATCTTTCGACTAGAACGAATTTAAAATTAAATTTGTTTTTCTTTATTTAAAATTCGACATAATAAAATTGGATTAACTTTTATTCTGATATTTTCAAAATTAATTATTATAAAACATTTACAAATGAAAAGCATGAATTAAAAATTAAAACTTTGAAACGACAAATTATTTTTTAATAAGTGATTATTTTTTACATGGAGAGAAAATATTTATTCAATTTTGTAAAACTATTTTACAATTTGGGGAAAAAGTGCAGCAAACCGAAATTTTGATAAAGAAAATACTAAACTGAAAGAAATAATATGAAATTTATTAAAGTTATATTTAAATTTAACTAAAATTCTTATTACTTGATATAATTATACTAAATTTCACATAAGTTTTTTTAAAGTTTAGTATTTTTTATATCAAAATTTCTCTTTGTCGCATTTTTTCCCCAAATTGTGAAATACTTTTACAAAATTTAATATAATTTTCTCTCCGTGTAGTAAGTAATTATTTTTTAATAAAAGAAATTTTAATTTATAAAAGAAATAAATAAATTTCGTTCATTAGAAATGAATTCATTTTTCATGTTTCTAAAAATTTCTGGAACATGAAAAGTGGGCGACAAAATTAACATTGACAAAATTAAAATAATTAACATATTAACATTAACATTTGATTTTGGTAAAGTTCAGAACGTTTATAATAAACGATTAATAGAAACAATTTTATTTCCATTCAAATTTTTGTCTACAAAATTTTTGTAATATTTCTTCATCAATAATTCAAAAAAAAAAATAAATAAATAAAAATTTGCCGACAAACAATATTGTTTTCTTTCAATCGTTGTATTATAAACATTGTGAATTTATCACAAGTTTTTTTGCGGATATCAAATTGAGACAAAAAACGAATTAAAATTATTGCTTTGCAACACTTTTGATTCGTTTTTTGTCTCAATTTGATATCCGCAGAAAGTCTGTGTGATAATAGTATTAGAAGCATTTGCTTCAAATACTAAAATTATTGATTCAAATACAATTTATTTGACATAGATAAAAATTATTTGAAATAAAAATGAAGTAAATATTTGATAAAAGACAAGTAATCAGTTATTTATATCCCATTTTTTTCAGTATATCAAATTTTTTTCCTGTTCGCAATTTATAAAAAATTTTAAATTCATATTTTGCAGGCAGAATTATTATTGGATGCAATCGAGATGCTGATATAGCACTCACCGGTACCGGAGTCGAACCTATTCATTGCATGATCGAAAACAATAACGGCGTTGTCACACTTCATCCCATAAATGGGAACACATCCATCGATGGAATTCCAGTTACTTCTCCTGTTCGACTCAGCCAAGGTATAATAATAAAAAAAAATAAAAAAAAAAACACTCCTCCCTTTAATCATTTTTCCTTCAATATGAAATTAAATTTAGCTTCCAAACACTATTTCTCACTTTGATAATTAAACCCTTCTACGAACAGAGAATGAGAGAGAGTGAATGTACTGTTTTAGCAAACCACAGTTTCCCCCCCAAAGGAATATAATTACTTTGCTATCAAACCCTAATTAAAATATACTCTAAAGTTTGCTTGATAAAATATTGATTTTTCAGGTTGTATGCTTTCAATAGGAAGATCAAATTACATGAGGTTTAATCATCCAGCCGAAGCGAAACAATTAAGATCCGTTCTGCCAAATTCAAGAATATCAATGGCGCCGATTTCGTTCTCACTCTCCGAAACTTTGGAGAGTCATTTGGAACGTAAGCCGCCAGTTCCTCCGCGTAAATCACCACGGAATTCATGCTCGGACGAGGAAATTGGTTTCCTGAGTAAATTAACCAAATTCGAAATGTTAGCCAGACAAAATGGAAACTGTGTCTCGCCAAAAGTGTTTCCAGCCGGTGGCCTCACGACAAACGTACCGGCCGATCAAATTCTCGGCCATTCACGATCCTCGAGTCTGGCTTCCCTATCGAAGCACACAATAAGTCCCCTGCAGAATCTCACGAATTTCGACCGAAGTCGTTCAAACACACCCTCCGATTGTAAGAAACTGGAAATTATTCACACCAGTCGTTCAAACACACCCAATCAAAACTATCAAATACCCTCACCAAATCACAATCACATACAAATAATATCCGCCGCCGAAAGCTATTTAAATGCCTACAAAGCAAATCTCAATTACAACAACAACGAAAATCAAGATCTCATGACAAGAAGTTTGATTTGTCAAGGAAGTGGCGATCTCGAGAGACTGAGTAACGAATTTGACATGAGTCAAAGTCTCATTGTCGCCAAAACAACCACCGAATATGTTCAAGTTGAAAAATTCGGTTCAAATCCAAATCTCTATAATCGTGATTGTAATAAATATTTACAAGAATTTGCCTTCAATTCGAAAAAAGTTCAACCAATGAGTCCGGCATTTAATCGAAATCCAAGATATGAGTGTAAAAAAAATTTTGGACGTGTGAAGAGTCCCACGCCAAGTACAGGAAGCGGATGTTCTTTAGAGGAACTTAGGGAGAGGCAGGTTGATGCAGAGAACAAGAGAAGAGAGGCTGAAAATAGACGGAAGCAAGCTCAGGAAGAGAGATTGAGAGAACAAGAGATGGAGAAGCAAGAGAAACTTAGACTGGAGGAGATTCTGGCAATGTGTGCAGAATACGAGAGACAGACCACTATTGATAAACCCAGACAACCTAACAGGTAATTTAGATTCTACAATCTTTAAAGTTCAAATTCTCATACACATAACAAAAATTATATTTTTCCTGATAATTTACTTTTTCTTTTATAAATACATTTATCTACTCTCAACTGACAGTTCTCTCTTAAATATTCAATATAAATAATGATCCTAAAGTTCTGAACTTTCAAATGAAATTTATTTATTTTTTCTTCAAATTCAATTTTTATAACAATAACTCTAAGGCCAGTACAAAAAAATTAATCTTAATTTTTTTTTAAATTGGTTTATGAATTTTAATTATAATTTAATTATTAGTTAAAAAATATTTACCATCTGAGATCCTTTATAAATTAAGGCAAATAAAACGAAAACATTTGGACAATGAATAAAATATTTATTTACTCCAACGTTTCGAAATCTAAATAATTTCCTCTTCAAGGAGTTTATCCAAAAAGTATATACAAAATTAAAATAATAATAAAAATTATATACAAAATTAAAATAATAAAAAATAATTTAACAATAAATAAAATAAAAATTAATTAATAATTATCTTATCAAAAATTAATAATTAAAATAGATGAAGACTTAAATTTTATGCCCTGACGATGGAGTAGAGTCTGGAGTCAGAAAATTATAAAGAAACTTAATATTCATAAAATAAATTTAAAAAATAAAAATAATTGAAAAATTAAAGAAATTGAAAATTAAAAAAATATTTTTTTAAAATTAATAATCAACAATATAAGAATGGAAAATAGTAACAAATTAAAAAATAATAAAGCATCACTATATATAAAATTTAATTTATGAAAATTAATGAAAAATAATAATACAATTATGAAAAATTAATAAAAATTAATAATAAATAAAAAATAATAAAAATTAATAAATAAATAACACATAGATAATAAATAACGGTTCTCAATACAATAATTCACAATAAAATAAAATAAAAATAATTTGTCAAATTAAGTAAAAACGTATTGCAAACTCCAGACTACTCTATCGTCAGGGCATAAAATTTAATTCCTCGTCTATTTTAATTAATAATTTTTGGTAAGATAATATTAATTTTTATTTTATTTATTGTTAAATTATTTTTTCTATTATTTTATTTTTGAATATAATTTTTATTATTTTAATTGATTTCAATTATTAACTATTTACTAATTCATTTTAATTATTTATTGTTTTTAAGAACTTTAATAATATTATTCAATTAAATATATCAATTTAATATATAATTAAATATATTTAGGAATTCAATTGTTTTCAATACAATTTTAATAAAATTCCTCAAAAGATTTCAAGTATTTTTGGAAAATTGACAAATTTCTTCGCAAAAATTTAATTAATCAGAAAAATTTTAAATAAATTCATTATCGGAATTTAAATATTTCCAATACAATGTTAATTAAATTCCTCGAAAAAATTCAATTATTTTCGATAATTTTAATTAATTTCTTAGCAAGATCTCAATTATTTTTATAATTTATAATATTCTTTGCAAAAATTCAATTACTATAAAAAATTTAAATAATTATGTAATAATAATAAAAAATTATGTGAATGGAATTTTTTTCACAATTAATCAAATTCTTCACAGGAATTTAATTACTTTAAAGAATTTTAATAAAATTTTTCGCAAAAATTTTATTATTTTCAAAAACTTCAAGAAAATTTTTTATAAGATAAAAATTTAATTAATTACTTTCAAAAATTTAATTCTTTGACTAAATAATAAAATTCTTAGCAGAAATTCAATTATTTTGAAAAATATTGGTAAAATTCTTTGTAAGAATTCAGTTATTATTAATAGAATGTTCATAAAATTCCTACAAAGATTTCAATTATTTTCATAGTCAAATAACATTTCTCGATAGAACTAAATTATTTTTAAAAAATTGTAATAAAACTTCTTGAAAGAATTCAAGTATTTTTAAAAATTTGACAAAATTCTTCACAAAAATACTATTTTGAAAAATTTTGATTAAATTCTTCATCAGAATTTAAATATTTCCAATACAATTATAATTAAATTCCTCGGAAAAATTCAATTATTTTCGAAAATTCTAATTAATTTCTTAGCAAGATCTCAATTATGTTCATAATTTATAAAATTCTTCGCAGAAATTCAATTACTAACTATAATGACAAATTTTGATAAAAGTATTTATGAAAATTGAATTATTTTCATAATTAATAAAATTCTTCATAGGAATTTAATTACTTTAAAGAATTTTAATAAAATTCTTCTGAAAAATTTTATTATTTTCAAAAATTTTAAGAAAATTTTGTATAACATAAAAATTTAATTTATTACTTTGAAAAATTTAATTCTTTGCCTATAAATAATAAAATTCTTAGCAGAAATTGAATTATTTTGAAAAATTTTGGTAAAATTCTTTATTTATAAGAATTCCCTTATTATTTATAGAATTTTAATAAAATCCTTACCAAGATTTCAATTATTCTAATAATTAATAATATTTCTCGAAAGAATTGAATTATTTTAAAAAACTGTAATAAAATTTCTCGAAAGAATTTAATTATTTAAAGAATGTTAATTATTATATTCTTCGTAGAAATTGAATTATTTTCAAAAATTTTGATAAAACTCTGTATAAAAATTTTAATATTTTTAATATTATATAAGTCGAATTTCTCGTAAGAATAACTTATTTTTAAAGATTTTAATTAAATTTTTCCCAAGTAATTTAATTATTTGGAAAATTTGGATAAATTTCTTTATAAAAATTCAATTATTTCAGATTCAAAATTATAAAAGAAATATTTTTAACAACAATCAATTTGATTTAATTATTTTTTAATATTTTTTAATCTTCAAAGCATTAAGTCGTCGAAAAGAACTTTTTTCCGAAACCAAAAAGAATAAGACTCGACACGCATAATTTTTTAGAAACAAACAAAATTTTAATTTTCTTTTTTTTTTATTTATCAAATTTAAAAAAATTCTTCCATTTCTTATGACAATTTTTATCCATTCCTTCCTTATAAGAGCAAGAATTGTATTTGTACTTTTCATTAAAATTTTTACTCTCACAAGAAATGTCTAGACCAACGATTTTTAATTTTCAGAATAATGACAAATGGCTCTTTAACGAGGGACAAAAGATCCGGTCACAATTCACCATTCGGGAGTCCAAAGAGCACTTCAAAAATTCAGCCACACTTTGCATTTGAGTCATCAAAGGAAAACAAATCAACGGCCTATGAGAACATAAATGTTCAAAATTCAAAGATAACCTTTCAAAATGGAGAGACGTCAAATAACACTCAAAATACCTCAAATATTGTTCACAATGAAAACGAGAATAAATTTACTGTCAGAGATTCTCAACCAACTACGCCAAACAATAATCAGACTGCGAAATGGCCTAATATCTACAACAACGAACAATCCAATTATTTTACGCCGTCTTCTCATTTTGAGAGTCCAAGTTACGAAAATATTAAAATCGAAAACGGTATTCATTCGAAGGAAGCACAAATTTTTCACGAAAGATCGAAAAGTGAATCTCCATCTATATATGGTAAATATTAAAATTTATATGGAAAATTTTATGTTGCTTAAGATTCGAATGTTTAATAATAAACAAAATTTTTTATGTCCCTAAGGATTCGAAAGTTCAAATGAACAATGGTTTTTTCCACAGTTTTTCTAAGGTTATAAAATTAGAGACAAAAAACGAATCAAAACGTTGCGAAGCAACATTTTTCCTTCGTTTTTTGTTTCGATTTGATAAATCCTTAGAAAAACTGTATTTATATTTTAAATCTAAATTTTTGTTAGAAAAATTCTATTTTTTACTTTAAAAAATTAAGTCCTCTATGTAAATATTTATTTTATTTTTATTAGTAATTTTTGAAAAACAATTTTTTTATGTCCCTAATAATTTCAACGTCCAAATGAAAGATTTCTTTTAGATTTAAAAATAATTCTGAGTTTCGTTAGAAAAATTCTATTTGTTAATTTTGAAAATTAATTTCTCTCTAAAAATGTTTAATTTTAATCTATTAATTTTTGAAAGTATTTAAATAAATAAAAAGTACTTGTTCAATTGAAAGTTCAAACCTTCAGGAAAATTATTTTTTACTTCTTTTAATTTGTATTTTTTTATTAAAAAATTATTTTGTATATTAAAAAAAACTTGACAATTTAAAAAAATATTAATAAAAAATAAAATAACTTGCCAAATATTTAATTTGAGTTATTTCTCTTTTGTATAGAAATTTTCAAAAATATTTAAGTAGGGAAAATTTTCGTTCATTTAGTTCTAAATTTTAGAGAAAATTTTTTTTTAATATTTCGAATTTAAGGAAAATACTTATATTTTATTATTTAAAAAAATAAACAAATATTTGATTCAAAGAGAAAAAATTCATTTGAAACAAAAATATTTTGTTTAACTTTAAATCAAACTTAGAATATTATTGGTTAAAAATATTTTTAGTATAAAACAAAACTAAAAAAAAATTGTTTGATTTAAATAGCCGATTACTTGTTTATTGTCAAATAAATATTTACTTGAATCAAATAATTTTCATTTAAATCAAATAAATTATATTTGAAACAACAATTTCAGTTTAATAAAAATAAATAATAATAAATAATTTATTTTTTATTTGTTTTTAAATTTTATTTAGTACAAATAACATTTTTATCTGGAACAAATAAAATTTATTAGAAACGAATAAATAATTTAGTAGACTTTGAGTCAAATATATATTTTTTTTCTGGGCAAAAAACCTTAAATTTTACAGTAATTTTTGCACATTTCTGTCAATTTTTATTATCTCCAGGGTAAATTGGACTTTTTCCGAAGTAAATTTTTGTAAAATTTAGTAAAATTTACTTTCGATCGCAAAGGAAAAAATTTTACTCAAAAGAATGTTCTCTTACATTTATTTACGAATTTCTTTCATTGTAAAATTATTCGAAAACATCAAAAAACTTCTTTTTTTAAATAAAATATTTAATTATTATTATTTTTCCACAGAAATTGAAATATTTAAAAATTTCAAATTCAAACCTTTATTAAATAAAACAACTTATATTTTTAATTATTTTTTATGAAAATAATTGAATTCCTTAAAAAAAATTTTTATTATTTATGAAAATATTTGAATTATTGCAAAGAAATTTATAAAAAATTTGTAAATAATTGAATTCTTTTGAAATTTTTATTATTTATAAAAATAATTAAATGTTTTCATAGAATTTTATCAAAATTTGTTTTAAATAGTTGAATTCTTTTTAAGAAATTTTATTAAAATAGTAGATATTGAAAATCATTAAAATGAGACGATTTTTTCAAAATAATTGAAATTAGAACAAGAATTTTATTGACACTTTTGAAAATAATTTAACTGTTGGGAAGAATTTTGTTATTATTAAAGATAATTGGGATTTTGACGAGAATTCTTTTCTAAATATTGAACACAATTGAGTTTTATTACTTTCTAAAATAATTGAATTTCTGCAATTATTTATAATTTCTGCAAAATTCAATTTTTGTAGTGTTTTCAACAAAAATTAGAATTAAAATTTTTTTAATTCTATCATTTTTAAAGTTGCTAATTTTATTTTTAAAAAGTAAGGAAAAAGTTGTTGCTAGTTAATAATAATTTTTAATGAATAACATATTTAATAATTAATAGTAAAATAATGAAAAATTTTATTTCCAGGTAAAGTAAACGGAAGAAAATTGGACAGTCAAAATTACGAAAATTTTGCCCCACTAAATGGAAATCTCAGTATTTACGAGAATGTTGTAATGCCACGAAACAACATTCAAATAATGTCCAATACTTTGCCGAGGAGAAAAAGTATAAAGTCCAATAATTCCTGTGAGATTATCGATAACAAATTGTTAGTTTCCGATGACGATCTCTTGGATGCAATTGAACAGCTAAAAATGTTGCCAAAGTGTAATGACACAGTTCAAAACATACCCAAGAGGATCAACTTGGAAAAGGATAATGCCAAATCGAATGAAACCAAGTCTGATAAAGAAAATAAGGTACACGAGGAGGAGGATCGAAAAAAGTATATGGACTTTCTGGAAAATGAGAAGCGCCATATCCTCGGGAATATGGAGGTCTTCAAAAGAAGTATAGCTGACATAGAAAATCAAGAGGAGGAAATCAATAGAGAGGTGCGAATTTATTCATAGTTCAGTGTATTTTTGCTTTTACTGTAAAAAAAAAATTAACCCTCGAGCTGAATCACAAAAAGTAAATTAATTGAATAAATTAAATAAAAATTGTTATTAATTAATTTTAAAAATTAAATAACAATTTTTATTAATTAATTAATTTGATTTAATGGAAATGACCCAAAAACATTAAAACTACAGGAATTATAATAAATTATCAGTAGAGTCTGAAATTAATACACCGGGCGTGTCACGAGTCTTATCAGCGCCTTTCTCGCATTGTTTGGCAAACTAATATTTATTTTTCTTTTTTGCAATTACGCAAAGTTCGTGCCTTTGCTATATATAACATTGTTCCACTCTCAGTTTACATCCTCATTGTATTTAACTCCCACAAATCTCACAATCTAACAAAATATTACATTACAATTTTTTTTTTGTCGTTCTGGTTTTAATAACAAAATAAGCTGGAATTAATTTTCCTAAAGTTTTGAACATTCAAATAAACGACAAATTTTTTAAAAATATTTTCCAAAATTTACTTTACTTGACAAATAATGTAAACTAAATACTCATTTATAGTTAAAGATTAATTTTTTAAATATGAAATTTTACTAAGATTAAAAAAAGTATTTTCCCAAAGTTTTGAACTTTCAAACAACCTAAATAATTTTTTTATAATCTAAATTAAATACTTATTTAGTTGAAAATTAATTTTTTTTAAATGAAAACCAATATTTTTTATTGAAATTGAAAAAAAAGTATTTTCCCAAAGTTCTGAACAAAAGTTTCTGTTTGAATATTTAAAAAAATTTACTGACTAAAATCGAAAATAATGTAAATTAAAACTATTTACCCAGTTAAGAATTAATTTCTTTAATAAAAACAATAATTTTTTTTAAATATAAAATACTAGAATGGTGGTTACAATTTTAAGTTTATCAATTTCCCTGCCAATTTACCGACATTAAAATTATTTTCCCTGCCAAAATTCTTCTTACAGAAAAATATGAAAGTTGACGGATAATGAGTAAAATCTATGAATTTTAATAATTTCTAAAAATTACTCAATTTTTTTATAATAATTGTAACTGTCCGTGTTTTGTTCTTAAGTTATTAAGGTAAAATATTTTAAAAAATTTTAAATAAAGAAATTCTTACAATTAATTTCTTTAAAAATATTTTTAAATAATTTTTGAAGATAATAGTTTTTTAATAATATACAATTGAAAAATTTCCAAACAATTAAAATTTGGTAAAATCTTTTAAAAATAATTGAATTTTTAAAAAATATAAATAAAAATAATCAAATTTTGAAAGAATTTTAATTATAAATATTTATAATTTTTTAATAAGTCTTAAAAATTAAATTTTTATAAATTTTTATTCACTTTGTTCGAAGATAAATAATTGAATCAAAAAATTTTGATAAAACAATTCTAAGAATTAGTTTTTAAAAATATTTTCATGTAATTTTTTGAAAATAATTGAATTTCTTTAAAGAATTTTTGTATAATTTAAAGAAACTAATTAATTTTTTCATGAATTTTAATTAAAAATTTTTAACATTAATTTTTTCTCTAAAATATTAAAAATAATGATAAAATATTATTTTTTATCCGTATCTATTTGAATTTTCGGAAATATGTAATTGGAAATATTGAAAATATTGAATTTTAAAAAAATTAGAAGCTAATTTTTATAAATTTTACATTTTGAAGATTTTTCATTAACATTTTTGATAATTTAATTATTTTCCAAATTTACAATTAAAATTCTTCAAAAGTTGATTTTCCAAAATTATACTAATAAAATACTTGAAAAAAATTACTTATTTTTAATTAAATTTTAGAAAATTTCAATTATTCAAAAAGATTTTTATTATTTTTATTTTTATTTGAAAAGTTTAATTATAATATCTTAAAAAAGTGATTCAAAAATAATTTTTGAAAGATTTGTTTACAGTTATTTTTTGCTCTTTAAAAATCGATATAAGTTGCAATTTATACTAAAAAATGTATTGTGTTGCAATATTTGAAAAAAAACGGAAATTCACAATTTTTGAAAATAAGTCGACAAAAGTCTCAATTTCTTTAATTTCCCTGGAAAATTTTTTTTTTCTTGTCATTTCCCTGATTTTACTGACAAAAATTTTGTTTTCCTGACATTTCCCTGATTTTACTGACTTTACTGACATGTGGCCACCCCGACTAACTAAATAAATTAGCAAAATTCGTTCATTTAACAAAATCTTCGTTCATTCGTTCAAAACTTCAAGAACGAATAAAATAATTCTGAATTAATAGAGAAATTTATCTACAAAAAATAAAAAATTTTTTTAACTTATTCTGCACTTTAAATTATAATTAAGAGCAAATTAGCATTAAAAAATATTATGATCCTAACTAATTAGATGTAATTCAAGTTTTCAAAAATTCATACATAAATTTTTTATTTAAGCTCGAACTGGAAAAAGCTCTTTTATCAGCTGAATACGAATCGGAGTCTTTGAAGGTAACTCAGGATGAAAGTGAAAAAATAAAAATTCAGATGCGTATAAATGAATTGGAAAGAGAAATGGCGCAGGATAGTTCCTCTCAAGCGAATTTACAGGCGGAAGCAAGACAACGAGTTCAAAATGCGCAACATCTTTGCAATGAATTTGAAGATGAACTTTCAAATTGCATAAATGACGAGATTCGAGAAGAGCTTACTGACAAATTAAGCACTCAGCAGGATATTTTTGAGACCGAGAGAAAAGCTTTTGAGGATTTAGAGTTCCATCATTTGGAAGAAGAAGCAAGTAAATTGGCTACGAGGGAAGAATTGCAAAGGTAAAAATACAAGCAAAGAATTTTTTCAAAGATAGTTTTAGAAAAATAAACGAATTCGTTTATTTTTCTAAAACTATCTTTGAAAAAATATTATAATCGCAATGTTTGCAAAAAAATGTTGTTTTTAATTTACCAAACAATACATTAATTGTGACATTAAAATTACAATGAAATCAAAGTTAGAATCAAAAAGAGGCAAATTGATTAATTTCTTTAAAAATTGAGAAGAAATCTTTCGAAATAATTTGTGAAAGCGTCTATAAAGTTTTAATATAATAAAGATCGAACCATAAGCTTCCGCAATAGGCTATAAAGTTTCATGCGAGAAATATATCATTGTTTTAGGTATCTCAGTGAACTTTCAACGAGGATAGAAAGTAGAAAAGTTCAACTTACACATTTGGAATCGCAAAAGTCTGAAATTAAAAACTCAGCGACCAAAGATACAAAAAATTTAGAGAGACAAAAATTGGGACACCTGAGAAGACTGGAGGAAGTATGTACATGTTGATAAATAATTATTTTCTACTTTAAATTACCAATTTTGTAAATAATCTTCGATTACTTTTTACTACTTATACAGAATTCCAAATTGCCAATCAAAAATATTGATGAAGTTCAAACCTTGACAAGTTCACAACGTTTATAATCAACGATTTACTAGAAAAAACATTTTTCTATTCTTTTTTGCTACAAAATTTTTGTAATAATAATTTTTCACCAACAATTCAAAAAATAAAAATTTGTGTTGAAAAAATATTGTTTTACGAGTAAAAAATATTTCTTGCTTTGAATTGTTGAATCATAAACGTTGTGAACTTCTCCCACGTGCAGTTCACAACATTTATGATCAACAAATTAGGAGAAAAAATGTTTTTCCAAGCAAATTTTTATAATTTTTTTTTCAAATTTGTCGTATCGATTATTTTAAAAAGAAAAATTTGCAAAAATATAAAAATTTTATTGTTTTCCGTCAAAAAAAAATATTTTTTTCATTAACCTTTGATTACGAATGTTGTGAACTATACCAACGCAAACAAAATATTGCATATTTTAAAACCAAAAGCAAATTTTTAAGAAACAAATTTTAAAAATTAAAAAATTAAATCTGTTATAAAAAATTTAAATCTTAGATAATAAAAACAAAATTTAAGTTTATAGAATACAATTATTTTAAGTTTAATTTTACAATTTCAATTTACAATTTTAAGTAAATAAAAATTCCAAGCACAATGACTAATTTTTAACACAACAAAAGTTGATGTGATAAATGCATTCGTTTTAAAATAATTTAACACAATAAAGTTGCAGTCAGCTACTGCTTTTAAGTTAAATTCAGCTCATATTAATGCATTTTTTAAAAGCTTCCTTTCAGTTAAAATATGCATTTAATTATTCATAATGTAATTCCTTGGTCATGTCTGATGAGGTCTCTTTAAATTACAGTACATTAGACTGCATAAAAAATCCGTCTTGATTAAAATAAGAAATCAAAATATGTCAAAGAATTAATCATTTTTTTTTGCTTTTACTATTTTAAAAATTTATTAATTTCATATTATTTTCACTATTTCATTATTTTTATTTTATTATTTTATTTTACTGTAATTACTGTTACATGTTGTACTTTTTTCCAAATATTCCAATTTACATTATTTCCAAACTATTGAAATTTTAATTTGAATTATTTTCCCTTTGTTTTGACTTTAAATGGTATTTTTCTTTAATTTAAATAGAATTTTTCTTTAATTTAAATTTTGAATTCTGTTTTTCAAACGTTAATCTAGAAAATTACAATTTTTTAATTTACTTCTTTTTGAATTATTCAATCAGGGTCGAAATCGATTACGAGCCATTGAAGACGAACTGGAAAGTTTAGCAAGAAATGCGCCAGAATGTGATGAAAAACGATCGCCGAGTAGAGAAGACTTTGATAGAATATCAAGAGTCACTACGGATTCTCCAATAGTCAACAATCAGGGAAGTTTGGGAAGAAAAACAATAGAGTCGTTAAAAGAAATAGAGAGGAACCGCCAACTTCATCTAGCAAAACAAGGTTCTATATTTTTTAACATCTCTCCACTTTTTACATTAAATTAATTAACTAACTATTTTTTTAACTAAATAATTAATTACCAATTCAGAAATTACTAATTAATCACAAAGACAAATTTTAGTTGAATCAATCAAATAAATATATTTTGTTCTACATAGTTAACCAAATAATTGTTTCGTTCAATAAAAAATTTACTTTAAAAACAATAAAATTATTTCTTTACACGAAAAATTTATTAAACTAAATCAAATACAATGTAGAATATATATATAATAATGATGCTATCACTCGGTCGATAAAATATTAAGATGATGAAAAAAATCGATCACTCCGAGTCAGGATTAAAAAAAAAATCCTGACTCGGAGTGATTGATTTTTTTCATCATCTTAATACAATGTAGAATATTTGATTCAAACATAAATTTTACCCGTGTTTAAAAATGAATATAGAAAAAATAAAATGAATGTCTTTTGCGACTTTTTTTTAAGGATTCGCTAATAATGTCGCTTTTTTGTCATTATTAGGAAGCCAAGTGATTTCGGAGGAACGACGAAGGGTAGAGGAATTGAAAAGAAGAGTTCAGGATGAAGTGCGTTCACAATGGGAAGAAAGAAAGATGAATTGCACTTCATTCAATAGTGTGGAATCCGGAGAGGAATCCAGTTACGGTCCTACCGAAAGGTAAGAAAATTTAAATTCAAATTTTCCGTCTATTATCGGTTTCAAAATGACTAAAGTCCATTTATTCTTCCCTTCATATCTATATTACTCTAATTTGGGTATTTATTTATTTTAACTAAAAGCTATTTATTTATTTTAACTAAAAGGAATTCATTTCTTTTAACCAGAAGGTATTCATTTCTTTTAACCAAAAGGTATTTATTTATTTTAACCAAAAAAGGCATTTTTATCCATTCTAACTAAAAACGGTATTTTTTTATACACAGTTTTTCTGCAGATATCAAATTGAGACAAAAGACTTCGCAACACTTTTGATTCGTCTTTTGTCTCAATATGATATCTGCAGAAAAACTAAACTAAAAAAAAGGCATTTCTAAAATTTCAACCACAAATCCTATTTTCTTCACATATCATAACAAAAGATATAATTCTTCATCAATAATAGAAAAAAAAATCTACACAGTAGAAAACTCGATAAGCAATAAAATTATTGTTCCCAAAAACCCACAGGGGAATAGAATTTAATGTCAGAATAATAATCATCTTGAGAGAACATATTCAGTGCACGTTTTACTGAAAATAACGGACTCCTTTTCTGCTGCTGAAAAAGGTAGTTGTATACGATCGACGTTGAAGTGGTTATCTACTGTTGAAAGCGATAGAGGAATTGTCATAGCTACCCACGTAATTTAAGTTATAAAGGTGCCGCAAGAGAACATTGTTATCTCAGTGCGTTGAAATGAATCTAAAAGTGTCTCTTCAAATTGTCCGTTTTCGATATTTTATTTTATAAAGAAAAAAAATTTTTTTTTCCTCCGAAAATAAGTTATTTTTAAATTCGTGACGACGAAAATCTCATTTTCGAATCTTGCACACACATATCGGATTTCAATTTCAAAGTGAAAATGTTCTTTTCTTATACTTCAAGTAAATAAAAAAAATAATGTAATTTATTAAAAATACACTATTTTTTGTTTACTTGTTTATTTCTGTTTATTATTTATTTATTTTTAATTTATTTCTCTCTATTTATTTTTATTCATTTACTTTTACGCCCATTTTATGAAATTACTGATTTGTGATTATCACACAGTTGCGGAGAATTATTTGCAACTCCGAATACATATAAGGAGAGAGTATATTGCTTTAACGACACTATCACGCCTTTTTCATAACAGTGGAATTCCCCCTTTCCAAGTGTGCGAAATTTGCATTTCTCTTTGTAATGCTCAAAATATTTATTACGTTTCAAATAGATTTCATCAAAAATAATAATAAAATTCTTTAACGATTACTTCACTTTCTCTAAATGTTGTTGTATTCAATAATGATACAATAAGAGAAAACTCTATTAAATTTAAGTGAATTGTTATCAGTAGATACGATATCTTAAGAAGCGTTTTTTCCATCTCCGATTGGTCATATGATTTTTAACTAATCAGTATCTAATTATACTCAGTAATTTGGTAAAAATTCTCGTTCCAATGACTCTTAATTGAAAAAGAATTGTTTTCAAACTTTGTTACTTTTTTGAAAAAAATAAAACAAACTCGCTATTAGAAGTAGAAAATAAATGAATAATCTAACACTTCGAACAGAACGAAACATAAATTAAATGAAAACACTGTTTCACTTATAGTTTAAAACAAACGAGGGACTGATTCATCATTCATTATCATTTGCGACAGATTAGAAACAATGAAAATTAACACAATTATTAGAAACATTAATAATGTCAAAATATGCTCTATGATCCTCAAACATTGCACACTTGAGATTTTTTTTAATCTATAAAGGATGTGCTATAATATGTTGCAGACTTTATTTAACAGTGTATGATAAAGTTACGTGCACGACAGTGGTAATGGGCAATATACAAAGCATGTCATTAAATTCATGAGGTCCGATCTTTGTACATATGTATATAGAGATCGAGCCAGCAATTGCACTCAGTAAGAACCGTGACGCGATGACGGAAATATTCAAGACTTCCTTACATTTCTTTCAAAGCAACTTTCCTCATAATTAAAATTATGAATAAAATTATTCATAAATTCTCAAAAAAAATATTTTATTAACGTTAAATTAAATTTACGTTACATACATAAGCATAGTGAAGTGATATGATTAACAACTTATTGATACTTTTTAATCTAACTAAATGGAAAATGAAATCAACTTGTCAATTGTGTGAATACAAAATAATCTATACTTTAATTTGTCACCATTTCAATCTTCATGAAACTTTACCAATTTTATAATAATTAACTTTATTTTGCTTCCTAGAGGAAGGATTGTACTCTACTTTTAAAACTTGATTCTTATTTCAATAAGAGATGGAATATTTTTAAAATTATGAAAATTATCCATTTTTCCTTGTTCTTGAAATACTCGTGTATAAATATACTTTTTTACTTTCACACGTAAACTTGAAAGACGCTAAAACGAAAGTCAATACGCTTGAATATTTTCGTTCAGGTTTTAATAGTATAAATGGGCTTTAAAAAAAAAAATTCACAATAATCAATTCTTATCTGATTTATATTTTTATCCGCACGCCGTCGTTTATCGAATGTAGTCACAAGTGATAATTATTTCAAGCAGATAAAAATTTATAAGAACTCTCATATAGATCATCAAGTAATCTATCAAAATTTATAATTTAAAAAAAAATAATACCTTCTCATGTGATCAGAATGTAAAAAGTTTATAAGAAAAAGTGATAAATGTTGGGGAGCGAAATTAGTCCTTGATCCTGACGTGAATGATGAATAAAATGAAATCTTAGTGCGATGGGAGTGATGACGAAGCATCGTTAAATTTTGAAGTCCTGCCAGACACTATTTCTTACTGTCGTACGCGCCGTATGATTTTACATATGTGATTATGATTTTTTAATAGCGTCGTCATGTGAAATGATAGCAGCGATTAAAAATTTTTTTCGAAAGAAATATTTAGAGAATAAAATATTTCGAGAAAAGAATATTTCGAGTTAAGAATACTTCAAGTAAAGAATATTTCGAAAAGGATTATTTCGAGTAAAGAATATTTCGAAAAAAGTGTTATGTTCGAAAAATGAATCGAAGGGGAGTTAGAGATGAGATTAGACTCAGAGGATGTTGCTTAATAACTTTAATCACAAGTAACAAATGTTATTTAACGAGCAAGGATTGGCTAAATAAAAATTGCTGTAGCCCTGTGGAAAGATGCCTCAGAAATTTACATCGACGATATTTGTGAGTTGAGTCTTTAATCTATCACCGACCGGTTTTCATGGCGGGAGGTTACTTCTTTTTTTTTTATTTTTCAAATACCTTTTTTATATGTTTCAATAATATCTACTTGCAAGAGAGTTTCTCTCCTTGTATTCTACTCATCTCGACCTGTTGATCCAAGAACCTCGATCTTATGGAAATATAAAAATTCACACTATAATGTAGAACTTTACACTCTTAATAGAAAATTTACATCTCATTAATTCAATGACACAATTTTAATAAAACAAAATTAGAAATTTTTACAAAGTTTTCCACCTTACAGGGCTCGAACTAAATCCGTAAATCCCGTAAAAGTCCATTTTTTTGAAAAAAGGTCCGTAAAGTCCGTAATTTGATTCAAAAAGGATGAAAAGTTCGTAAATAACAAATGATTGCAGAAATTCAATTATTTTCAAAAGTAAAAAAATTCTTCGCAGAAATTCAATTTTGTTCAAAAATTTTTTGAAAATTCTAGTCAAAATTTCAATTATCTTTAGAAATAATTAAATTCTTCTCCAAAATTAAATTATTTTCAAAAATTTTTGTAATTTCTCGCCAAAATCAAAATTCAATTATTTTCAATTATTTTCAAAAGTAATAAAATTCTTCGCAGAAATTCAATTATTTTCAAAAATTATAATAAAATTCTTGGCAAAATTTCAATTATCTTTAGAAATAATTAAATTCTTCTCTAAAATTCAATTATTTTCAAAAATTTTAATAAAATTTTTGGCAAAATTTAAATTCCTCTCCAAAATTAAATTATTTTCAAAAATTTTTTTAAATTCTCGACAAAATTTCAATTATTTTTAGAAACAATAAAATTCTTCTCCGAAATTCAATTATTTTCAAAAATTTTAATAAAATACTTGGCAAAATTTCAATTATTTTCAAAAAATTTTCCTCAATCAATGATTTTCAATATTTACTATTTTAATAAAATTGTCCAAAAGAATTCAATTATTTAAAAATAAATTTAATAAAATTCTTTACAAATGTTTAATTATTTTCAAAAAATAACAAAAATTTTACAAGAATTTCGTTATTTACAAATTTTTTAATAAATTTCTGCGCAATCATTCAATTATTTTCATAAATACTAAAATTTTTACGGGGATTCAATTATTTTCGTAAATAATAAAATTCTTTTAAGGAATTCAATTACTTCCACAAATAATAAAACTCATCGCAGAATTTCAAATTATTTTTAATACAATTTTAATCGTATTCCTCGAAAAAATTCTTAAAAATTTTAATAAAATTCATCCAAAGAATTCAGTTATTTAAAAATTTATAGATAATATTCTTTATGAGAATTCAATTTTGAGAAACATGCAATTATTTAGTAAATTGTAATTTTTGTATTTAAATAATTAAATTCTAGTAGAATTGTCTCATAACCATTGATTTAAAAATGGATTTCAGTTAAAATTTTAGATTATAATTGAATATTAAAAAGCATTAGAGCGTAAATTTTTAGAAATAATTGAATTTTGAAAAGGTTTCAGATTAAAATCTTTGGAAATTTTTTATTTTTCATATTTTTAACTATAACAATTCTGTGGAATTATTTTTTTAAAGAAACTTTTATTAATTTTCAAGAGTAATAATATTCTTTGCAAAAATTAAATATTGTTCAAAAGTAATAAAATTCTTCTTAGGGACTCAATTTTGAATTATTTTTAATACAATTTTAATCAAATTTCTCGAAAAATGTAATTATTCTTAAAAATTTTATTAAAATTCGTCGATAGAATTCAATTATTTAAAAATTTGTTGATAAAATTCTTTACCAGAATTGAATTTTAAGAAACATTCAATTATTCAACAAATTATTTATTTTTGTATTTTAATAATTGAATTCTAGTAGAATGTTCTAATAAAAATTGATTTAAAAATTAATTTCATTAGTTAAAATTTTAGATAATAATTGAATATTAAAAGCAATATAGCGTAAATTTTTAAAAATGTTTGAATTTTGAAATTAATTTCTTTGAAGTTTAATTGAATTTTTTTAATATTATATTTTAAGTTTTTATTTTCTAATATTTATTTAATTGAAGAATTTACGAATAATTGAAATTTCGTAAAATTGAATATTTCAAACAAATGAATTTGCAAATTGTCAAAAAACCTTTTCGAAAATTATTAAAAATAATCGATGTTTAAAGAAGAATTTTCGTTAAAAATTCTTGTAAATAATAATTGAATTGTAAATGATTTTATCACTCATCTTTAATTATTATAAAACATGAAGAAATCGATCATGAAGTTATCGATATCTTCATGTTTTATAAATAATGAAAAATGTAATTTATAGTTTTAAGTAAAATACTTTTTAAATAGTTTTACTGATTCGAGCCCTGACCTTATGAATATTTAACAGACAATAAAATAAATTTATTTACTTATTAATTTTTCAATAAGAAAATAAATCATTTATAGAATTTAAAAATAAATTAAAAAACTGAATGTCCTATTATGATTTCAGTGGGAGCGGTAGTGACGGTGCGGAAGGAGCAACCAGTGATAAAATATCGCCGAGTAAACTTTCAGAATTTACCTCCCCAAGTCCTGGACCATCGAATAATTCATATTCACTTCTTTCTACAGACAACGTAAGTTTCTTGACAATTTTTACCCTCAAAGGGACCTTAATTTACTAAAGTAAATTTCCCTCCAGTTATGTATATATAATAGAAAACTTCCAGTCAACAAATATTAGTTCTCGAAATATGTATATACAGTATATTATATAAATTGTTTAATTTGTAAACTAATTAAATGTTAACCTTTGTTAACGATTACTAGAGCGTAAAAGACCAACAACTGGAGCATACAAAATGAATTTAAATTATATGTAACTATAAATAAGTAAATAGCAATCACTCAGAATTTCTCATTTACTTGGCGTTTATTGATAGTTGGCATAAGTAACGTCTGCTTTTGAATTCACGTGTGAAGCATTCAATTTTTCACAACTTTACATTTCGTAATTTCTCAGAGACATTTTAGTGTTAACATTTAGGCTTCTTTCTCGATTTGGATTTTTATTATATTACTACTCGGAAATTTTACTGTACTGAGAAATTTTTAAAGTACAGATACAAATCAATAGCAATAGATTTTCAACTGTCAAAAATATCAAAACAAGTCTATTACTTTATTATTTATGATGATGCGAAGGCGCTTTTCAAAATTCACTTCATAGAAATAATTCAATTTTTAATATCTTCCTGTTGAGGTCCTTGAGTCAACACTAAAAACTAACCTAATCCCTTTAACATGTTTTCACTTCTAGGTGAATGTAAGTCACTCGGTTAACAACTTCCGGATATGATCTTCTTCCCCACCAATCAATATTAGTTTAATAATATTTTTCATTCAAAACGTTTCCGATCGTTATCGAATAAAACGAGAAAAATATCAAATAAAAAACTCCGAAATGAAGAAATAAAACGAGTTATAAAAAATACCATAATTTTCGATGCGAAAAACTTAACGACAAAATTTGCATTTGCAATATATACAGAAAAACCAATGAAAACTTATGAGAAAACCAACACCTGAACTTTATTGAAGCTTGAACGTGCTTTCCAACCTAATAAATTCACCTCTATTTTTCAAAACAAAATTTTACATCTAAAGTACTCGCAATTTATCAAAAAGAAAAGAAGATGTTTAAAAGATGAAATTAAAATATCTTTTTTGAAGATATGATTTATTCAAGATTTCAATTGCATTTTCAGTTTAATTTTCCATCTTAATTTATGTTTTGATTTTGTTAATGAAAAATAATTTTGTAAAATAGGACAAACGTTTTCGTCATTCGGCATAGTTTTTCGCAAGCGGCTCGCATCTGGACTGTATCCGCGTCATGTCTACATTTTGCAGACAACCCTGCACACATAGTAGGAAGGTCAATTTCTGACACTCAATGACTCTTGTTTCTTAAATTCTTTCACAGAATCTAGCGACAGTCAATCAAATAATCAAGAATTTCAAAATAAATGAATATTAACTTTAACAATTATTTATAAACAACCACTACTAGTATAAATATAATTTACAGTAATTTAATTGTAAACCGATTGTAATGTACGTATTTAATCATCACGAACAAGATTTTGCAGAGTTAATTGTAACTTTTTAATGTTTTGAAAAAAGTTTTTAAATATTAAAATTTTTTAAATTGAGGAACAAATTCTACTTTTACTCCCAATAAAACATTTCGTACCGCTACATTGTTAAAATTTAAATTTCGTCGTAGATTTGCTATGAATGAATTTGTTTGGCGGGGGCGAGTTTTCACGCGCACAAGAGGTGGACGAGATTTTACAGAATAATAACAGGGAAACGAACGTCGCGTACTTCAGTCCCCGCTATACATTCGACCCGATAACTATCTATCAATAATTAATCCTTTTGAATAAAACTAATCACTAAGCTTTGAATAGTGCCTTTTGAAAACTATTTTTAGCACACATATCTAATTACTTTTCCCTCTATTTTCAAAATTTTTAAAATAATTTCCTCTTGGAAAGAATAAGAACAATTTCATTTTTATTTCCGTTTTAAAAAAGTATTTTTCAAAAATTATGTCCTTAATGTGGATAAATTTCGTGAAGACAAGGAATAAAAAGAAGTTCATTAAAAAGAAACGAGTAAGTTTCTATTTTCATTAAATTTCTAATTATCTAAAATACTATTTACCTATTTTTTTCTCATTTCTAGTTTTTAACATTTAACTTTAATAATTATAATGTTACTTTAATATTTAATTTCAATAATTTAACTTTGATAGCTTTTATTATTACTTAGAAAACAATTAAATCATTTAGAAGAAGAAAGAATAAAGACTCAAAAAAAATCTTCAAAAATTCAGTTAACTAACTTAATTTTATAAAAACTAACAAATGTGCATCTTTTGTTAAAAGGCTACAAGTACAATAAAATTAACCCCCTGTCGAAGCTTAAGGCCATTAGTGGACTAATAAAATACTCGAAGGGATAAACAAAGCATATTTTCCAAGAAGAAAGAATTCTATTATAATTTTTTAAGCGCATATCTGACGTGTCGCGAAGAAAGAGACCTAAGAAGCAAAATCTTATAGGATTTGTTTATTGTGTTTTAAATAAAAATGCATAAAGTAGGTTGGCTCTCAATTTACATGAATTAGGTTTAAGCCTTTGTTGTATTTTAAATATTCAATAAAAATTAGTATTTACTGTACGAAAATTTAAAAAGAATGCTTTACTAAAAGTAAAACGATAAACATAACCTAAAAGATTTTGCTTCGTAGGTCCATTTTTCGCGATAATTTTTCCTATACTAAAAAAAAGAAGAGGTTATAAAGTACTCACCGATGATGACTTCCTCGTAGTCCCTCCTTTGTCCTCCTGGATCGTAGTTGTTTTCGTCGCTCTTCTTCTCCTGCGCCCGACTTGGTCCTCGTTTTCGTCCTGGAACTCCTTGTCCTGTTTGATCCTTCATCTTTGACTCCTCTTGAAGCACAATAATTTTCACTATACACGAATTTATTCCACGCACTAACACTTCCCACGGATACCCCTTTCCACAACAGGGACACTATTTCACTACACATGTCAGTTATCACAAGACACAATGGTGTCATGTCACAGAACAGGTGTTGTACACTTTCGCAACACCTGAGTCTATCCAAGCAATATTTTTAATATTTTGATTCTTAGTACTTCGACTTGTCTCATTTTGATTACTTTGCTAATCATTGATGTCACTCTTGTTGTTGTCACTTTTAATATGTAAACTGTCAGTTTCGGCTATCTAGCACTGATTTGATAATAAAAAGTTTCTGTTTACATAAGTCGACATAAACACTGCAATCGCACCAAGTTCGTTTGTACAACTTTTATCTTATTGCAGCCATCAATTTCTTTGCATACTGCAAGTGCGATGCTGTATGTAATACTGCACATGAAATGTCCTTTGAAGATTATTGTTTGCGTTTACACTGGTTGATTGTCTGTTGTATGCAGCACATTATGGAACTAAAACTTCTGATGCATATTCATACGGAGGCGAAAATGTTCATGTCCATTTAGCACTGTTTTCCCGTAACAATAGAAACATTTCAGTTGGGATTTACGAGTTCGCACAAACACTGCAATTGTTAAGTTTCGTTGTCGACAAAGTGGAATCGTTTGGCCAAGTTTGATGTAGCTTTCTCTGCTTTGCTCTTAGTATACAGTGGTTGTAATGTTGGTACTGCTGATGGAAGAATCTGATCGGAAGTCCTTAAAATTCTGCTGATGATTGCACTGATGCATTCGATTCTAATACAAGCTCACATTAAACATTTGGATTTATTCGTTAGGTTTCCTTTGGTCCAAGTTCACTATTTTCTTCTTCTTCATTCCACTGTAAATGATACGTTGATTCCGACTTCTTGATGCACTATAATTCTTGAAGACTGGTTCTTGTCACAAAGCTAATATGAACCTAAGTGTTGGGTTGATTCTGACTTCCTGATGTACCATAAACTCTGAAGAAAAATTTGAAGGTTGGTTCTTGTCGCAATGCTGATATAAACCCAAGTGGTACGTAGATTCCAACTTCTTGATTCACGAAATAAAGAAAGTTTTGAAGACTTGATTCTTCTAGCGAAAATTGATATCCACCCAAGTCCAATGCCCACCTTCGGCACTCTGCAAACATTAAAATGTAAGTTGCAATCAGTAATAATGATCCATAGTAGCATTTGATTTTTACACGAAATGAATATTCAAACAGTATATTTCTAGGTACAAGTATGGCACATTTGTCCCATACATGACACTGTTTTTGAATGACCAAAAAAAATCGGAAATTGTAGAACAAAAATCGCAAATTATGGTTTCTAGCACTAAAGGACGAAAAGATTACTGGAACTAAGATGACAAAATTAAATACACGTTTCTCACAATGTCGGTAACTAAAATGTCAAACTCCAACAACGGTACCAACATACTTGTCAAACACTTCGAAAATTCGCGATTATCATTAAAATGTTTGAACAAAACGTAGATTCTATTATAAGAGCTGTTAAGCATATAATGTATTTAAGAGCTCTTGTCAAAAATGTCAACGATAATTGCGAACTCGTGATTGTGAAGTATCTTAGTCATCATTTTTACTTACTGGGTGCTTTACCCTTGTACTGATTCAAGATTTCAAAATTTCTCGACCCTGAAGTAATATTGTAATAATTCAATAGAAACAAATCGCCATAAAACAAGGCAAGTTGATAAGTACATAGAGTACTTTGACAAACATTTTTGAAATTATACCAAAGAAATCGTACAAACTGACCCACATTCACAACTAATTAATTCACTAATGAAAATGACATTTTGACTAATTGCAAACAAAATTTGTTTTATATATCCCTTACAACATACTTTGTGTTTGACTTTAAGTAGGAGTAAATTTTCAACGCTAGGAAGTATAGATAGTTTATCGTGTTTATTAACATTTTCTGGCAAAATTAATGTAGACAGGTGTTTAGTGACAATCTGTGTGAATCATTATACTCTCATGCGTCAGAAAACCATTTTTGAAAATATAATTTTTTAACGAAGTAAACATAATATTTTGTTAATATGATGAATCCCTAGATTATTAAAATTTAGAAAAAAATGTAACACAATGGTAAACATATTTTCGCATCTTAAAGATAATTATTAAAAGTCATCAATTTAACAAATCAAGCAAAGTATCATCTGCTAAACGGTCAATAAATTCTTCTCAAAATCTCAATGACGAAATTTTTATCTAAAGAACTGTTTCTTTTTCTGATTCTATTAGCAGTTAAAATAAAGCATCTATCGACAACGTAGTGTCTATTTTCAGCGAGGATGTCTTGAAATTTTAGTGCGTTGACGTGAATGAAGACTTATGTATTAACTTCCACAGTCTCTCAAATTTTGACTAACACGCTGCATTCTTGCACGATGTGCAACAAAAATAAAGAACACTAACCGGGGAACTCCCTCCTGAAGAATTAATCTTTAGAACATTTAACTAAAAATATCATTTCTGAGAAAAGTGGAGCTAAACTTAAGAACGGAAAATCAAACGTGCGTCTTTGTCCGATATCTTATTGTTCCTTTTTTTCCAACACACGGGTGAATTTATTTTTATGAGCAATATGACAAAAACTGAAAAAATTATCGTCGCGGTAATAAAGTAATAAAAAAATATCGTTGTTTTCTATTGTTAAAAGTGGGGAAAACCCATTCTGACATCGTAAAAATAAATTCCACTGATTTTGAAATTTTCTGTAGTTCACAGAAGGATTATCATAATTAGGATAAGCTTAAGCACATCTGGTGCAGCCTGAGCAGAACAGGTAAACTGTCACATCTGCCTTATTGTCTACATTTGTCATTAATCTGTATTTATACCTGAAAAACATTTATAACCATGCCTCTACGAGGACCAGAAGGTATATTCTGTGGTAATTTTTTTTAGATTTTTGGGTTAATTCTTCACTATGCTCAAATTTAGTCTATACATTCTTTTTCTATTTTTACTTTTACTTTCCCTCTACAAGATCAAAATTACGAACGGAAATTCTATCTACGTCTAAAAATTACAATACTATTTCTTCCAGCAAATAATGCAGACTGATTGAGTATAAATCTGTTTCATAAAACGAAAATTCATCATGGCTATTATTACGCTATATCACTCTAAAGCTACTTAAGAAGTAATATGCACTTAATATCCTTCGTACGAAACAAATAATATGCTTCAAAAACCCATTTCCGCCACCTACAGGTCTTCTTCTCTTGGTTAAATAATCATTATTAATCCTAATTATAGAAACTGCACTTCTGTGACTATATGTCAACGAACTTAAAATGCTTCACTTCTTCAAACTACTCGGGTGATTGTAATTAATCCCGGTCACTAAGCTGTTTAACTAATTTCACCTTCTTTAATAAAGTGTTCTCTTTTCCTTGAATTATGTTGCTCATCTAATAATGTCTACTTATAGATCAATGTAAAAGCAGTTCTTGAATTAAAATTTTGAGAAAAAGCTTTGACAATCGGAATGTTAACAAAACTGACAAATTTATTTTGTTATTCTGACAATTTAAGTTTGTTGTCATAACAAAAAATTTTGCAACAACAACTCGAAAATCCCCAAATATCGCTATTTTTGACGCTGAGTGAAATTTAGGGAAATTTAGCGAAATCGACGCTAAATTCAGAAACGTGCAAAGTAATCTATATATATATTTTAGTCTACATCTATATCTACACTTATTTATCAGCTTTGTTAAAAAGTACATCATCCGCCCGTGTATTCGAACAATAACAGAAAAACGCTTCCTTCATAACATTTGAAATTGATGCTTTTTGATGTTCAGGGATAAATTGAAAATTAAATTTGACACTGAATTTCGTGTGTGGGATTTTGATAAAACATTTCATGAATTTAATGGATCACGTAATATCCAGAGAATGTATTTATATACGATTTTGTGTTGGAATTTATTTCTGAACATTTGCGGGGTAACTTATGAAAAAAATGCAAATATTATTCAACTTTTAAATCGACGAAAAGTTATAATATTTTTCAGTAAGATGTAACAAATTTCAAGGTTGGAGAATGAACCTTACATTCATACAAAAAATTATCTGGCAATGCATAAGAATTTCTGTTATGTGAATAGTCACCGCAAGAAAAACAATTCGTCCGCGATGATGAATAAGATGAAATATTGAAAACAATAAAGTTAATTTTAAAATTGCGAAGAAACAACTCAATCCAAAATTAGTATCTGCATTTTTTATTTAGAACTATTATCTCGAGGAAAATGTGTACGAGTTTGTTGAGTTTTATAAATCTCATTGAAATTAGAAACTGGAATTAAGATTTGTGAACATTGGACTTAATTAATATTTTCTATAAGTTTTAATCAATATTCTTTTGATTTTAATTACTTAATACTTCCCAGATTTTAAATCTTTTTTTTTTTAATTTTGCAATACTTTTTGCTTACAGATGAGGGATGATAGAAGAATTTCTTTAGAAAACGAACGCTACAGCACAACTAGTGTTGGCATTCTGGATGGAAATGGAAGTCGACCTTTGTCACAAACTTCGAGTGAAATGGATACATTAGGAACTTCGCAAACTATCAAACACCGAGAAAAAGCTAAACTACAGGTACGCTGTAACTTTTATTTCTTTTTTTATGTACTTTAGCAACAACTTAATGAACCAGGAAATACAACTTTCCTAACAGAATATCCCGATCTCAAAGTACATAGTATACAAGTTTATTTCGATCTTAATTTCTTTCCTATATTCTCATTTTATTCAGACAATAAACAACTTATTTTCAACTCACTTTTTCAATTTTTTATTAAAAAACTCTTTTCCTGGTTTTTACACTATGATTTTTATGTCCCTGAAATACTAAACTATAAAGATTCTAAATGTTTAATTTTCAACTAATTAACTTTTTCTTTGGGGCAAATTTAGAGACCACTCACAAGGTATCTTCCGATAAAATCAGAATCTCTGGATTTGAGACTACATATCGAGACGGCAGGACATCAACTACCACTAATTCATGATGTGTCTGTTGATATAACAAGTTGCTGCGGATATTTATCAAAAATGAGCAAAAAATTTCATCATTGGAATAAGCGATGGTTTGTTTTCGATAGAAAGAGGAAAACACTGTCATATTATAGTGACAACAATGCTAAGAAACCTCGCGGAGTCATTTATTTCCAGGTAACAATCATAACTTAAAATTATCTTTCAAATATGTATTCTTTTCTCTAAAATTAAAAATACAGGAAATATTTTCGATACGAGAAAATTAATTAAGACACGTTCTTTTAATTCTTTTCCAGTCTATCGAGGAAGTCTACGTGGATCATATGAATTCGATAAAATCTCCACAACCATCACTGACATTTATCATCAAAACGACAACGCGACTTTATCATCTAATGGCACCGAGTTCGGAAGCAATGCGAGTTTGGGTCGATGTAGTTTTCACCGGAGCTGAAGGTTACCACGAATTCGATCACGGAGTTTGAAAAATAAATCCAATTTTTCTTGGAGTAAAAGTCATGAGAGGCCGAAAGGCTTTTTGAAAAAATTTCCTCCCAGTGTCGAGATGACATTTGAGGATTTGTCGACTTTCTGAATAATTGTCAAAAAATGCCAATTATCAAAAATATGACAACGCGCTTTATCAGAAAGAAGAAAAGTATGATTAATTCGCTTTGATCGTAAATTTGATCAAACACTTCAGGTGTAAAATAAACTCAAGTAGAGTATAAATTCGCTAAATTTCTCAAAAATTCGCTTCAATTTCCAAAGGTGCTAAATTATTTATAAATAACTATTTTTTTGGATTATTTAAATTAAAATTAAATTAAAATAAATTGAAACTGAATTGCAATTGAATTGAAATTAAATTGAAATTGAAGTTTAAATAAATAAACTTTTAAAAATATTTTCTCTAATGCGTATAGAAAAAATTGTTCTCAATTTACTCTCTTTGCGCGGGAATTAAATTATCCTCGCGAATGAGTATTTTAAATAAATTAATGTACACGATAAAACACTTTTTTTTAAACGTAAAACAAAAAAAAATTACACTGCCATTAGACATAAAAATGTCTATACAGATTTTAAAATCTAGCAGTTAAAGTTAATATTTTTAGATCGATTTTATCGGTTATATAAAAACAGGGCATTAGCGAGATTATATATACAAGTATTACTCGTCGATACCTTAAAAAAAATATATACAAGTCTGTTAGTATATAGAAATATTAATCTAGTCTTCCAATTTAGGAAAAATGTAAATGCAGATTCGTAATCTCGTTGATGAGTCTTAACTTATAAGGAAGACCGTCGACCTTTTTATCGAGAACAATAATGCCATTTTCGAGTTTTTCGGGGAAAAAAACAACTAAGCATGTAATGTACGAAAATTTGTAAATATATACAACTTCTCATAAGCCTAGCTTAATATCTCAGAAGTGCTTACCCTTTTTACAGATTTTTTTCTTCGAATTGTAAAACAAAAAAAGTATTTTTATCAAATATATATTGTAGAAAAAGGATAATCGTTTTCTACTTAAATTAGTGCCAATCAGAATAAGAGTATTAGAAAAAGGAACTGAAAAGTTAAAATAAATAGGAAAGAAATTATGAAGAATAAAAGGAGAGAATTACAAAATAAGTATTGTAAAAATTTAGAATCTAGCGACGACGGTAAGCGTCAAAAATAAATTCCTTTCTGCGATAGGAAAATTAGTGTCATTTTCAATACTAAAAAATATTTTTTTGTCACTCAACATCGACGCCAACTTCAGGGAACTAAATTTAATTTGTAGACTACAAAATTTTAATGTCCGTGAAATAAGCGTCGACGCTCAGTGTCGAATACTATTTTTTGAAACTTTGAGAGACGAAAATGTTACTAATTTCCTAAATTCACATCTTTTATTCACCTAAATAGTTTTAAACTTTAACAGAGTAATTTTTTAACCTAAAAACTTGGAAAAAAGTTTTCGATTTCGTAAAAAATCCTTTTCAACGCTTAGCGTCGACGCTAACTTCAACGACCTAAATTAGTATTTTATGATTCTAATTGGCTCTAGAAATTTGATATACGATATACGGCATCAAATAATACCGTAGAAGGTAAAATTGATCGTCAAAGCAATGGAAAAATTTAAAAGAAAAAAAGAAAATTATAAACAAAATTAAAAAGGAAATTAAAGAGAAAATACTTGTAAACTAATTTAAAATAAAATTTTATCTTCTAAAACTAAAACAGGATAAAAATGCTTGCGAAAAATAAGAATTTGACTCGGGTCAAAACTAAAATAAAACTAATTCGCTTCCCTCTATTATATATACGTTTTTTTTTTTGAAAACTTATACTTTATTAAAGTATTATGTATTATATAATCCGATGCAGAATTTTATTTGCATAACAAAAATCGAATTTCATTTTTATAATGAAATCTATATTTAATTATATATGTTAATCTTGCCTGTACAAGATTTAAAAAAGAAAAATTCGCACAAGAATGGACAATGAAATATTTCTTCATATTTTTACCAAAATAATGATTGATTTTTTTTTGTGAATTTAAGAGTGAATGATTCGTTACATTAAATGATTGTTTATTTACTTATGGATAAACGTTATATTTTCGTAAGTTACTATGTATATTTTTAATTTTTATTCTATCACGATGAAAATATTAAACAAAAAAAAGAACCGAATGCCAGAGTTGTTTGTCTGATGTAAAACAAAATTAACTATTCCTTTCTATACCAATTACAAGACATAAATATACATGATTTCAAATATAATAAGCGTCTATATTTTTATTTACCTTTAATTTAATTTTAACGTCAATTATTATAATTCATTAGAAATCGCTTTTTTTAGACAAAAAGCGGATTAGAAAATATTTTTTAGAAAAAGTGACCGCCTACCCTTGTCTATTCAAGTAAATATTTCAAGGTGTCTACTAACCGGGAAAACCAGGAAATAGCCGGGAATTAATATTTGACCGGGTAAAACCGGGAATTTTATGCCAAACCGGGGATTTTTTCACCAAATTCAAAAAAATTTTATTATTTTAATTTGTGTTTAAAAAATCTCTTTTTATTTCAATTTTTATAGATATTTATACTGTACTCTAAATTTGAATTAATTAAAAAAATTAATTTGATAGTAAAAAATCAGTCACTGATTTAAATATAAGTAGTATGAATTTAATTAATCATACAAAAAATTAATAAAAAATTTGGAAGCTATTTGTAGACTTATTTATGTTCGAAATCAAATAAATTTAAATTTGATGAGAAAAAAAACGGAAAAAATTATGACAAAGCCGGGAAATAACCGGGAATTTTGTTGAACGAAAATAGTAGACACCCTGAATATTTACTTGAATCAAATCATTTTTATTCGAATCAAATTGAATTTGAAATAAATTGTATTTAAATAATCAATAATTTTAGTATTTGAAGCAAATATTTAATTGACTTAATAATTATTATTTCATACAAATAAATATTTACTGATAATTAACAAGTAATCATTTTACTGGATCAATTAAATTTTCTCTCAGAGTAACTATTCTAAATATAAATTTTGTATTAATTATAACGTTAATTCTTAAGTTTTTGTTGATAAATAATTTTTTAATTATAATGTTATTTATTAATTTTTCGTTTATTTGAATTAATTAAATTTTTTCGCAGTATAACTGTTCTAAATATAAATTGTATATTAATTACCATGTTAATTGTTGTTTTTCTGTTGATAAATAATTTTTTAATTCTACCGTTTAGTTTATTAATTGTTTGTTACTAATTTATTTTCAAAACAATGTTTTAATTTTTCTACAACTGTTTTAAATATAAATTTTGTATTAATTATAACGTTAAATATTAAGTTTCCGTTTATAATTATTTTTGTAATTATAACGTTAAATTTATTAATTTTTCGTTATTAATTTTTTTTTAAATAATATTTTAATTTTTCCTACAACTTTTCTATAATATATAAATTTTATATTATTTTCACAATTGAAAAAGATAAAAATTGTTTATATTTTAGTGCAATATTGAATACTTTAAAATTATTTATTTAAAATGATTTTAATCATTTCTTTAAATTTAAATTAATTAAATTTAAAATTTCCTTAATGTCGATAGAGTCGATAGTCGAAGATCGAAAACGGTGTCATGGCCGCATTGTAAACATTCTGTTAAATGTGTTAAATTCATACACATTTTTTTAGTGAATTTTAGCATTGTTTACTAAAATTTTTATATTGAGAAAATACTAAAATAAATACACAATGAATCTCCTTAGGAGACAGTGTTTAAACACGTTTTGTAATGCAATAAATAAGCAAAACAATAACATAATTGGAAGATTTGTTTCATTCAAAAGTGCATTTTCTCTTGATAAAATATATCCAACGAGTAATTTGCGATTATATACACCTACTTTTGTGAGTAAATTAAATAGAGTGTAAATTAGAAATTAATTTTACAATTTCAAATGAAAGGAAAAATTTATCTTCCTTGCTTGCTAGTGACATAACCTCACTTTTTGACAGAAGAACTTTTTACTACTCTCTGTATTCTTCATACTTTTTACCCTTTTTATTTAGAAAAGAAAATGATTTTAAATTAAAAAAATCATTTTTCCACTTTTAGGTACCAGAAGATCCGAATCAAAGATTTAGTGGTTACATACCCATGGACAAAATAAAAATTACCTACAGTCGAAGTAGTGGACCAGGAGGACAACATGTTAATAAAGTTAACACCAAAGTGGATGTAAGATTTCATTTGAAAGAGGCAACCTGGCTTGATGAAGGTATCAAGGAAAAATTAGCAGAATTGGTAAGAATAATTTTTATAAACACTATTTTTCAAATAGAAAAATATTCAAAGATATTTGAAAAATTGAAGGAAATTACATTCTTCCAATGTAAAATTGAAAGAATTAAAATGATAAGGATATGAATGAAATTTCAAAACAACTTTGTTTTTAGTGTAAAAATTCCATAAACAAGGAAGGCTTCTTGGTTATTAAATCAGAGCTAACTAGTTCACAACAACTCAACGTTGTTGATGCACTTTCAAAACTGAGGAATTTAATTCGAAAAACATTAGTAGAACCAAAGGAGACACCAGTTGAAACTGTAGAGTTCCATAGGAAACGGCAAATTGCAGCCTCTCAAAGAAGACTTTATGAGAAGAGAAAGAGTTCACAAGATCGTGAAAATAGGCAATGGACGGATTGATAATTTTTTTTAATTAAGGAAATTATTTACTGTAAATGATTGTGTACAAATAAATGTTAATAGTATCTAAATATTCTAATTTTCATTTCTTATAGTCACGAGTTAATAGTATCTAAATCAGGGTTGCTACAAAAATTTAATTTTGTTTTTCCCTCATTTCCAGACAAAATTTCTTCTTTTTCCCTGACCCTAGAGAATATTCTGATTCACTCTAAAAATTATTAGATACTCAAAAAAATGTTCTAATACATTTATTTACGAATTTCTCTAATTATAAAATTATTCGAAAACAACAATAACTTCTTTTTTAAATAAATTCAAAAATTTCAAATTTAAACCTTTTAAAATTCTATAATCTTTAAGAATATTATTATAAAACAATTTTTTCTCATCAAATAAATCTAAAAATGGCTTCCAAAATTTTTATTAGAATTTTTATGGATAATTAAATTCTTTTGACGAGTTTCTTTAAATTTTTTAAAAATGTTTCTTTAACAATTTGAATTAACAATTTGAAAAATAATTGAATTAAACAAAGAATTTGTTCAATTTTTTAAAATAATCTTGTCTGTTCATAATTATAATTGAAAATTTAATTAATTTAGTTTCATTAAAATGTATTGATACTAATTGAATTTCTGCAAAGAATTTTACTATTTATAAAAATAATTGAATCCTTCCAAAGAATGTTATTATTTATGAAAATATTGAAAATAATTAAATTGTGGAGAACAATTTAATTATTTATAAAGATAATTGAAATTTTGAGGAGAATTTTAAAAAAAATTTTAAACATAGGTACATAATTGAATTTCTGCGAAGAATTTTATGGAAATTTATGAAAATAATTGAATTCTTGTGAAGGATTTTTTTTTAATAATATTCAAAAGAATTAAGTAAATTTGAAGAATTTTGCTATTTATGGAAATAATTTAATTCTTGAGAAGAATTTTTTTACAGTTTCTAGAAATAATTGACTTCTTTCGACGAATTTTAATAAAATTTTTAGGAATAATTACATTTTTTGAGGAATTCAATTATAGTTGTATTAAAAATAATTAAAATTCCTTTGATAATAATTTTCTAAAAAATTTGAATAAAATTCTTTAAAAGAATTTAATTATTTTTAATGGAATGTAAAGAAATTTCAATTATTTCAACAATTTTCAATTATTTGTTTATTAAAATTCAATTATCTTGAAACAATAGAATTGAAAAATTTCAAAAATCTTATTTTTCAGAATTCCCAAAAAAAAATCTTTGCGAAAATTCAATTTTATTAAAAAATTTTAAGTGTGTATATTTTTTAAAATTAACTAATAAAAATGTTAATTATTAATCTTCGCACTAAGAAACATGAATACATTAGAATGTGACTCTTTTTAAATTTCAATTATTTATTAATTATTAAATTAAAATACTTTGACACCGGGAATAATAATTTATTATTTTTTAGAATTTTTAACTAAAATTTTTCTTTAAATCTATAATTTTTAATAATTATTGAAAAAGTTTTTTAATAATTTTCAAATCCATTTGTTTACAATTCAATTTTACACGGAATTTCGTTTATTCGGAAATTCTTCAATTAATTATATTTGCAAAATTATTATTTTCAAAGAATTAAATTTAAAACCTTTTCAAAATTGAATTATTTCTAAAAATTTACTCTTTAATGATTTTAATGTTCAATGATTATCTAAAATTTTAACTGAAATACATTTTTTAATCAATATTTATTAGAAAATTCTACGAAAATTCAATTATATACAAAAATAAATAATTTATTGAATAATAAATTGAATGTTTCTCAAAATTGAATTCTCATAAAGAATTTTATTAATAAATTTTTAAATTATTAAATTCTTTCGACTAATTATATACATAATAGAATTTGTAAGAATAATTACATTTTCGAGGAATTCGATTAAAATTAAAATTCTGCGATGAGTTTTATTATTTATGAAAATAATTGAATTCCAAAAAAGAATTTTATTAGTATTTACGAAAATAATTGAATCTCTGTAACATACTCTGTAACATTTAATTTTTTCTAGTACTTTTAATAAAAAATCCCTGACTTTTCCCTGATTTTCCTAACTAATTCTAGTTTCCCTGAATAAATCTTAAATTTAAATTAACGAAAATCTTTATTTTAATTAAAGCAAAAAGTCTGCTGGCTGTAATTAAAAAATGTAAAACTAATTTTTTATAAACTTTAATGTCGAAGAAAGTGTTTATATTAAAGTATTATTTTTGAAAATGAAAAATAAAATTCAACTTTGATTGTATTATTAAAAAATTTGTTTGTCTGCTTAAAGAATTTTCATTTAAAAAAAAACTATTCAAAATTAAAAAATGTATTGCAAATAAATAAAAATGAAATTTTTGTTTCCTAAACAGAAAATAATAAAAATAATTAGAATATTATGAGGGGAATGAAATGCAAAAAAAAAACGATGGACGAATAATTTTAGGGGTGAGAGAGACAAAGGGAAAAATAATAATTATTTGTTATTATGATTCTAATAAATTCTCTGGGTGCAGAAATCCTGATGCTGTTAAAGTTCTGATTTTTACAAAAATATTCATTTCCGCAGCTGTTCGAGAGTAAAAAAATAATTTTGGACAAAATTGTAAAAATTTTATCGCACCTTTAACCTCAAAAAATCAATAAATAAATCATTTCATAAAATTTTTAATTTTCGAAAATAATTCTCTATCAGAATGATCAGAATCGAATATTTTAGACATGAAAATACCTCACCCACGTGTCTAACCTGCGCAAGAAATCTCCATAGCAACGTTAAATTCACAACAATTCAGAATAAACCCTGAAAAGTGGTAGCAAGTTTGGAAGAAACTTTGTGCCTTATTTTCATCAGATTAATGCACTAATTTTCAAGTATTTCCTAATAAAAATGTCATTTCGTGATTTACGAAGTAAGTGAAATATTTAGTCAAACTTCCGCGAGTCGATAGTGAAAAAAATATTATTAGTAATTTTTCTAACCTCTTTGTCGCAGACTTCACGGAGATGCTGAGAGTCCTTGGATATCCTAGGTTAGTGTCCTTATCCAATTTCCGGTCGCCAAATTTTCCCCTGGTTGCAGAAATTCTCGTTTGGTTGGTAAAAAGATTCGATCCAGACTCCAATATTTCAAGCGACTACGCCACCGAACAGGATCGTGTGATTTTAATTCGTCAAGTGGCAGAATTCATGGTAAATTTGTCAATACTTGTTCACAATCGTTTTCAATTTTTATTTCCTATCGTATCAATCTTCAGCACTTTTTCCTTCAATAATGAAAATATCGAAAACTATTCCGATTAAATCACGAAGAAAAATATTTCATTCCGACCGCACACAACGCCGACATGGAAATCTTGACATTAAACGTACATAACCTCACTTTTTTTTGCCACTATCCATGAGACAGCTGTAACATCACAAAATACCTTAACTGAAAATATTGCACATCGAATATGTTGTCAAAAAAACAGATTATTTACAGGCAATAACAGCAAATATAAAACTGAATACAAAGAAACTTTACCAAGCCGATGGATATGCGGTGCAGGAGCTACTCAAGGTGACACAACTCTTGTACGAGGCCCAATTGAAAAGTTCGGAAACTTCTACACGTACAGAAACATTTCACGATTTGAAATTCGACATTTCGGATAAAATAAATGAATTAAAGACCACGAGACAATTGGCAAGTGAACTCACAACAAATGGTGCAACATTGTTCGATCTACTCGGGCGGGAAGCTGAGCTCCGTGAAATTCGTAATTCGAAGGTTTCCCGGCAGTTCGATACATCTGAAATAGAGATGGCGCTTAAAGAAACAATTGATAATACAAAAAAAGAAATAGAAGACACTAGAAAACAAATAAACAATGTCAAGGTATGCAAAAATACTTACGCTTTATCTGCTTTTCCGATCAGTGTTGCGGGGCCGTTTGTTTAAACAATAATGGCCTCCTTGACCAGCGGAATAACTAAAACCGCCAAAAAAGTAGTTCCCCAAGCCATCGACAGGTGGCGCACCACCTAGAAATTTCAAATTCAAAAATTGATTTCGTTTTTTTAAATATTTATTAAAATGTTTATTAATATATTTATTTACTTAAATATTTCTTCAAAAATAAATAAGTAGATTTTAATTTTATTAATATTTAATTAATTCCGTTGGATTTTTATGTATGTTTTTTTAATTAGAATTTGTTTAGAAGTAACTGTAACCGCCAAAAGTAGTTCCCCAAATCTGCGATTGGTGGCGCTGCCCCGCAAATTTCAAATTCAAAAATTAAATTTTACCGTTTATTAAAATTTTGTTTAAAAATATTTATTTATTTAAATATTTGTTAATTACAAAATTTATTTATTTAAATATTTTTTTTTATTCATATATTGTTTATTCAAATATTTTTTGTAAAACATTTATTTATTGAAATATTTATTTATTCAATTATTTATTTGTTTATTCAAATATTTCTTTGCAAAATATTGATTTTTAAAAATATTTATTTATTCAAATATTTATTTATTAAAATATTTACTTTTTCAAATATTTCTTTGTAAAATATTTATGAATTTAAAAATTTGTTTATTAAGAAGTTTATTTATTCAAACATTTATTTATTTAAATATTTGTCTAATAAAATATTTATTTATTCAAATATTTTTTAGTAAAATATTTATTTTTTAGAATATTTGTTAGTAAAATATTTATTTATTTAAATATTTGTTAATTAAGAAGTTTATTTAAATATTTGTTAAATAAGAAGTTTATTTTTTCAAATATTTGTCAGTAAAATATTTATTTATTTAAATATTTGTTTATTAAAACATTTACTTATTCAAATTTTTTTTTATTAAAGTATTTATTTATTTAAGTATTTCTTTATTCAAATATTTGTTAGTAAAATATTTATTTTTCAAATTTTTTGTTAGTAAAATATTTTTTTGTTCAATTATTTGTTTGTAAAATATTTATTTATTTATTAAAATATATCTTTATTTAAATATTTGTTCATTAAAATATGTTTATTTAAATATTTGTCTAATCAAATATTTATTTATTTAAACATTTCTTTATTTAACTATTTGTCTAATAAAGTATTTATTTATTCAAATATTTTTTAGTAAAATATTTTTTTATTTAAATATTTGTTTGTAAAATATTTATTTATTTATTGAAATATATCTTTATTTAAATATTTGTTAATTAAGAAGTTTATTTTTCAAATATTTGTTAGTAAAATATTTATTTATTTAAATATTTGTTTATTAACACATTTACTTATTGAAATATTTCTTTATTAAGGGCATTTGAACCTTGATGACGTTACAGTTTGTGCAAAGCATGTGTGACGTCATCAAGGTTCAAATGCCCTTAAAGTATTTATTTATTTAAGTATTTCTTTATTCAAATATTTATTTTTTTCATATATTTGTTAGTAAAATATTTGTTTGTTCAATTATTTGTTTGTAAAATATTTATTTATTTATTAAAATATATCTTTATTTAAATATTTGTTCATTAAAATATGTTTATTTAAATATTTGTCTAATAAAATATTTATTTATTCAAATATTTGCTAGTAAAATATTTATTTTTTCAAATATTTGTTAGTACAATATGTATTTATTTAAATATTTTTTTATTAAAATTAAAATATACATTTATTAAAAATAAGTTTTAATTAAATAAATTTGATTTTCATTAATGTTTTGAGATTGAAATTAGTTTTTAATATTAATTAGAATTACGATTTTAAATAATTTATTTAAGTTAAAAATTAATTATTAAAAATTAAATAGAACAGTGATTATTAATTTTCAGGAAACGGAACAAAATTTGGATGCTAAAATTGAAAGGAGACGAACTGAACTCGATAGAAATCAAAAGAGATTGCAAACATTAAAAAAAGTTAAACCAGCTTTTATGGGAGAATTCGAAAGACTTGAAGTTGAATTGAAAAGTCTTTATGAAGATTATCTTCAGAAATTTCGCTACCTGGCTTATTTGGAACACCTCCAGGAAGACACAACAAAAGTAGAACAAGAAAGATTCGAAAGAAGGTAATTATTTCTAATTACAAATTATTTAGAATTAAAAAAAATTATTTTTCAATTTTTTTCAACTAAAAAATAATATATTATTATTTAATTAGTTATAACTAAAAAATAAAATTTAATTATTTAAACAGACAAGCTGCGACTAAAAAACAATTGGAACAATTAAGAGCCGAGGACGTGAGTTTTGAAACTCTTCTCGAGGGAAATGATTCTATTTTCACTAATAATCTTCAGGATCCCTTGGCCCTGGGAGAAATGGAGAAACGTGTACCTGAAAATACTGCAAGAGGTAGACAATAATTAGAATATTATATTGTTAAAATTTTCCATTGAAAAATTAATTTCAATTTTATTATTGAATTAATTTCAAATAAAATTAATTAAATTGAATTTAAACAAAATTTAAGAAGAAATAAATTTAGTAAATTTCAGAATTGATTACTTGAAAAATTGTTAATTGAAATTAATTGAAAAATAATTTACAGAAACTGGAAGGGCTTCAAAAATGCGAATCCAACATCGCAGAATTTACGGAAGTATGTCAGGAAGACAACGTGGAGTTGTTCTTGAAGCAAATGAAAGTGACAGTGATAGTGATTTATACATTGATGGAGATCTAGATGATGAAGATGATGATGACAATGATGACGATGATATTCTTCTAAATTCCGTTCATCCAACGGGAATCACAGAGTTTGATCTGAAACCAAATCAAGAGAAACGTGCTGTCAGCAAAATTGATCATTCTGATGAAGATTTTTAAACAATAAATCAAATAGTTTTAATTACATACCATATAATTAATTTTTGAAAATTTAGATTAATTTACCAAAAAAAAAAGAGTGACGTGTGCAATAATTTGTAAATAATTACATTTTCAACTTAAACCTATTTGACTGAAAGTTTACAATCACTTGTTAATTTACAATTATTATTGTATTTGTATAAATAATTATTATAAATACAATTTTTAATACAGAAAATCAAAAATATCTTTTTTCAAATATTTTTTCCTATAAAGTTTCCAACGTTCAAAACAACATTTTTTGTATTGTCAAAACAAAAATTATATACTCAGAAAATTCTCAACTAAGTAAATATTTAATTTAAATTATTTTTCTTTTATCTACAGTAATTTCTAAAGAATATTTAAACAGAAAAAAATGTTCACTTAAACTTTGAAAACTTTATAGAAAAATTTAAAACAAACATAACATTCATTAGATGCTATGAAATAATTACTGGAAATTATTTTTTATTCAAAAAGTATATGTACAATAACAATAGTCGTATATTAAAATTGTCCACTTGTAAAAATAATAATTGTGCACTATTTTTGTATATACATTAAATAGATTAACATTTTCAAAAATGATTGTATACAATTTTAAAGACCATTTATTCGCTAAAAATTCTAAATACGAAATTATTTTTTTTAAGTTTGCAGTAAGACTAAATACTCATGAAGAATATAAATGTAATAGAGAATTTAATTAATATTAAAACATGTTAAAAAAGAATATTAATGAAATATGAACAAAAATGTTAATGATAGCAACGATAAAAATATATGTTTCGAATAATTTCAAAAATACAGCAAATGACTTCATTCTGACCAACTAGAAAAATGTGATTGCTTCTTAGGCATTAAATTATCCTACCACTTTACATGTACAATTACAATAAATTCAAAAAGTTTTCACAATTTTTAAAGCGAATCTAAATTCTCTTAAAAACTAATTAAAATACAATTTTTCTTTAGTCTAAATTTATATTTACAAGCACTGAAAAAATTCTATTCTTCATTTAAGAATCTTGACATCTTAAACAAAAAAAAATATAATATTTTCAGTGAATCTATATCTTCAATAGAGAACCTATAGATATGCATGAATGTTGACAGTTAATTATTCTTTTTACAAATTCTTGATTCTTTTTACAAAATGCACCATAGACCAAATTTTAGGCCACAGGCCCTTGTTATAATCTTTTTTTCTCAGTAAATCTCATGTTCTCAAAAAAAAAACAATAACTTTATGAGAAATTTTCTCATTTTCATCGATTTTCTTTCCCCTCTTTTTTTCATATATAAAATCTTAAAGAAGCACCAGAGTGAAAAGTGTAACAGCCTGAAAGGCTTTCACTTGGAACATTGAATTTCGTCCCATAATCCACTTTTTGTTTTTTTGTATAAAAATAGTCTCAATTTTTTTCAACGAGTCATTTTCATAAAATTTCTTTTCGGAAAATCACATCGAAATTCGACTCTTGATGTTAATTAATTATTTTGCTTTTATGGAAAGACTAAAAATTGTGTACAAATAAATTTATCAAAAATCATGATTGATGACAGTATAAATATTTCTTGAACAAATTCTTAAACAAATTGAATTCAAATTGAATATTAAAAAGGAATTTGAAAACATGTTTTCATTAGCACCATTTTAAATAATTGAAAATCCATTTTAGTTTTATCGCAACTGCAATGAGAATAATAACTACAATTATAATATTATTATCAAATTTATCATTATCATTAGCTTGATAATGATTTTTATCAATTGTATTCGCTAATTTTTGTAAAAGAATTTTCCTATCATTTTCTATTCTATTATTATCATCATCATCATCGTCTTTATTGATATTCTGTTTATTTTTGTTAATATTTTTTTTATTCATCAAATTAAAATTATGTCGTTTATCGAAAATATTATTGGAATTATTTTTCGATATATTTAATGCTATTTTAAGTTCCGGTAAAGAACATTCACTACTTAATTCTTTACACGTTCTATGTACATTTTTTGTTAATTTTTCAATATATTTATAGGCCGTTTTATCAACAACGGATTGAGTTTTAACACAATCATCCCCACCAAATTCACAAACACGATAATGATGCAAAATTGCTGCATCAGGTGGAACATTCACTGTTCCATGACCGGGAATTAATTCCCAGACAAAATGATTTCCCGCTTCAACAACTTCTTTTGGTTTGCAAACGTATTTCGATCGTTGCTTATGTGGATGAAGTTTTAATCGACGTCTCGTTTTTCTCAATGTGATGAGATGAGTTTCTGAGGGATTTCGACTGCTTGCTATGTACGGATCATCGGCCCATTGAAGATAGAAGAATGCATTTTGAAATGAAAATGCTCCCGTTGATTTTGTGCTGATTCGTGTGCCCATCCACCTGAAGAAGGAAAATTGTTTATTAAATTTGAAATTTTAATGTTCTTTTCTAAATTTGTGTCACTGATTTTTTGTTATTATGCAAATTTTACATTTTTATTGTTTAAATATTTTTACTAATCAACTATTTTACTGATAACAAAAAATCAGTCACAACAAAAATCAGCAAAGTCAAAATAATGTTTACAAACCACGAATTGAATTTAAAACACAAAAAACGTCTTGTTAGTCGATTCACAGTACGAAAAAAAGTATATTTTCTTTTACATATTCCGGATTGTCACAAAAATTGTATTATTCATTTCCCTGACTTTTCCCTAATTTACAGAAAAGCTTTCAACTTTTTCTCTTATTCCGATAATAAATTACATTTGGTAATTCAATTATGTATCCTCGAAAAATCTAATTGAAACTTGAAAATTTTAATTTTTTCAGAATGTTTGAAGTAAATTATTCAAAAATTCCATTATTTTATTAAATAAATATTTAAATACTATAGGAATATATTCTTTCACAGAAGTTAAAACTTAAAAATTTCAATTTCAAACTCTGAAATTTTATTACATCTAAAAAAATACAATTGGAATTCTTCAAAAATTCAATAATAATAATTTTTAACTAAAATTATTCAAAAGGACAATAATTCTTTTTATTTACAGTTTAATGTAATTAAACTTCTTGATCAACTGAAGTTCTCAAAAATTTTTAAGTAGAAACCTTGTGAAATTTTTCATTTCTAAAAATTGCTACTCAAATTTCTCTAAAATTCAATTATTTTCCAGAATTTTTGAGTAAAATTCTTCTCTAAATAAATTATTTTGAAATAATTTTGTTCAAGTTTTTTAAGAATTCAATTATTAAAAAAATCCACTTAAAATACGTCTAAAATTCAATTGTTTTCAATTTAATTTAACGAAATTACGATTTTTCGAAAATTTTTCGAATGAATTTTTATATATTCGAAAATTAAACTAATTTCTAAAAAAGTTATTTTAAATTTTCAAAAAAAATTCACTTAAAATACGTCTAAAATTCAATTGTTTTCAATACAATTTAACGAAATTTCGATTTGTCGAAAATTTTTCAAGTGGATTTTTATGTATGTTTTCAAAAATTTAACGAATTTAAAAAAAAGTTTACTTAAACTTTTCGATAACTGAATTGTTCAGAATTTTGAAAATTAATATATTTTCCATATTTTTCTTTCTTCGAAAGTTATTAAGATGAATTATTAAAATTATGTACCTAACTGAAAATATCAAAAATAATAATTTTTTAAAAAGATTACATTAGGGAATGATATTCTTAAAAATAATTTTCAATAAAATATTCTTGAATAATTTTTGAAATATAATAGATTTTTCAATTAAATATAATAGAAAAATTTAGAAATAATTGAAATTTAGTAATATATTTTTTTAGAACCTAATTGAATTTTTGGAGAATATAAAAAAATCAAGTTTTTCAAGAATTCTTAATAACAAATTTGAAATTATATGATTTGTGAAAAATTTTAATGATGTTAATCTAAAAAACAAGATTTTTCAAAAATTTCATTTTACTTATTTTGAATATAATTGAATTTTACAAAATTATAGTAAAAAAATTATAACATTTATTGTTTTAAAAATATTGTTTATAATATTTCTCAAAAATAATTGAATTTGATAAAAGAATTTTTAGACAATTTAAAAAACATATTAATTTTTTGAAGAATTCTTTTTAAAAATTTAAGAAAATTGTTTTCTCTAAATTTTTAAAAATTAGAAAAAGTTTGAATCTAATTATTTTTTCTAAATATTTCAATTTGCAGAAATATGTAACTAAAAATATTGCAAATAATTGAATTTTTAAAAAATAATAACAAATAATTCTAAGTTTTAGGTACTTTTTCAAAAAAATATTTTAATATAATTTCTTGAAGCAAATTATTATTAATTTACATTTTAAAATTTGCATTTAAAGATTTTTCTTTAGAATTTTTTATAATTAAAATTAGAATTAAAATTGTAATCAAATATTTGAAAAAAAACAGTTATTTGCAATAAAATTTTACCAATATTTCAATTAATTTAAAAGTTTTTTACTTAATGTATTTTAAAAATGTAATTATCTTAAAAAAATTATTCAAAAAATATTTTTGAAAGATTTGAGTAGTTTTTTTGTATGAAAATCAAAATAAGTTACATTTTATATTTAAAAAATTGTACTTTTTGTAAAATTGTCTCATTTTTAGAAAATAGTCGAAAAAAGTCGTTTGAAAAATCGCATTTTTCAAAATAATTCGATAAAATATTTTGTAATTCGAATAAAGTCTCATTTTTAGAAAATAGACGAAAAAATGGTATTTTTTCAAAATAATTTGAATAAAGTTTCATTTTTAGAAAATAGTCGAAAAAGTCGTTGAAAAATCGCAATTTTTTAAAAATAATTCGAATAAAGTCTCATTTTTAGAAAATAGACGAAAAAATGGTATTTTTTCAAAATAATTCGAATAAAGTCTCATTTTTAGAAAATAGTCGAAAAAGTCGTTGAAAAATCGCAATTTTTTCATAATAATTCGAATAAAGTCTCATTTTTAGAAAATAGACGAAAAAAGTCGTACCGTCCGAGTTTAGTTATTAAGTAAATTTTACATTTTTACTAATTTAACAAAAAATGTAACAAAAAAATGAGTCACAACAAAAATTATCAGACTGGAAATAATATTAATAGTAAATTGATAAATTAAAAAGAAACTCAAATAACAATTTTTGAGAATAAAGAAATATTTTTCTAAAGGGGGTGAAAATGGAGGAAAATCGATAACAAACCGTATAAGCTCGATTATTGTATTATCGTGTCTGGGAATGATGAACTCATCCAAATCCACCAAAGCGACGTACTCAAAGGTATACATCGATCGATAGAGGCAGTCATTTAGTGCAGCAAATAATCCTTCGGTACGAATCTCCCTCTGTGAGATCATATCCAGATGATGCCAAGGGAGTACAGTAACGTAACCCTTTCGCTCGTAATATCTCAATACACATCCAGCGTCAGGACCAACCGTATCATTGTAAAGAGTGACATGAGTGGCACCTAAGAGTCTGTACAGTTCAATAAACTCCACTAATTGCAAAACCTGCACAAGATTTAATGTCTTTTTTATTATACTGTCTCGCGCGAATCATGAAGAGAGGGGAAAAAATAAAAAAAGAAGAATCCCTCTTAATTGTAGATTTTTAAAAGCTTTTCATAATTAAAGAACGCGTATAAAAAACCTCAGACTTTTTATATACGTTCGCAATACCTTTCCTTTTTTTCAAACAAAAATATTAATTGCTACCCGTAAGGTGCAAGTTTTTAAAAAAAATTTGCGTATAATTTCTCTTGAATTCAATTTTTATTTAAACTTAAATTTTTATTCATTCAAATTAATATTTAGTTTGAAAAGGAAAACTTCATTTTAGTTTAAAAAATTAAAAAAACTTATTTTTTGATTGAGAGATTATAGAAAAGAATTTTAAAGAAATTTCAACTTTAGAAAAAATGGTCAAATCAGTCAAAATGACTGACTAAAATCGATCTTCACTACTGAAACTAAAATAACAAGAGTTTAGTCTAAATTTTACTTTTACCATTCGTTTCGAAAAATTAAAGGATCTAAAAAATGTTCTCCTTTAATTGAATATTATAATTTAAATTTAAATTATATAATTAAAAACCATATTTCGTGACTACAATTTCTTTGAAGTTGCTACAAAAATTTGATTTCTTTTTCTTTAATAGTAAAATTATTTAAAACTTCAATAGTTTTATTCAGATAAATATTTAATAATATTTGAGAATTCTATTATTCAAAAAAAAAAAAAAGAAGATTCACCTCAAATAATTTTGAAATTCAATTTTATAAAATTTTAATTATTAAAAAATTTGTGAATTAAATATAAAAAAACTAATTTGAAGAAAAATTAGTTTTTTTTATATTATTTAAAATTCAAATTTTCTAAAGTTCTTAAAGTTCTAAAATTTAAAACCTTTTGAAATTCAATTCATTATAAAAAATGTAAACGCAATTCTTCTAAACTTTAATTATTTTTGGAATTTTTAAGTAAAATTATTCTTTTAATAATTTATAAGTTATTTTAACAAAATTACAGCTTATACTTTAATTAAAAAATTAAAAATTCTATTTCCTGACCAGAATTTTTTACTTTAGTAATTTTCTTTAAAAAATTGAAATTACACAAGAATGAAATTTGATTTTAGAAAAATTTTTGCTTTGAGAATCAAAAATTGAATATTACTTACCCGATTGTAATCGTAGTGTAAGGGTTTGACGCAAATCGCAAGGTTATTTTTATTCACAGATCTGGCGTGTGGTCGATTTTGCACTAAAATGCGATTTGAGGGAGATGCTCGAAGTTTGGCAACAATACTGACTGTCTCCGGTATTTTTTCCTTAGTGGGAGAGTCTTTTGGAATCGGACATATTACAAAGCAAGCACTGTACTTTAAATTCCAATTTTCTCTAATGACCTAAAAAAATTCAAAATAATTTTATTGAACTATTAAAATTAATGCATTTTAAAATTATTAAAAATTACGCCAGTGAAGTTCACAAAGTTTATGATCAATCAATTGAATTAAAATAGATTTTTTTCAAGCAGAAAACAATAAAATTTATTGTTTATAAATATTTCTTTCGTTTATTATCCATTAAAAATTTTTATTATTATTAATAATAATATTATTTAATTTATTAATTTAAAATATTTTAATTTAATTTAATAAGAAACTATGCTTATACAAAAATTAATCAAATTTTAAGTAGAAAAATATATTTTTTCCAAATCATTGATTATAGACTTCGTCAACTTGCTCCCCAACGTTGAAAAATAGAATCTGAGAAGTCTGAAGATTAATCTTAAGATGAGATTAAAATCAGAGAAGATTTAATAAATTGAATTACTTTAATTAAAATTTCTTTAAAAATTTTTTTTTCTTTTTAAATTGACTCTCTTTGGAAAGAATTTAAATTATTATTATTATTATTATTATTATTAAGATTTAAATGAAAATAATTCCTTCACCTTAACTTTGGCAGGAACTGTCGTGGAAGAAGTGAGATTTTGATCTGAATACCAAAGACGACACCATACTCTCTCGGGACTTTTTGTTTTGGTTGCCCCAATAACACGAATTAATCCCGGACTTTTTCGATTCCCAGATCCTCCCACTATTCTGTCGTCGAAATAGGCCGAATAAACAAAGAACTTGAATCTGTTAACAAAAATAAATTAGTCATTAATAAAGAATTAAAAATTTTTAATTTAATGACAAATAATTTCAATCTTTCCTCTATTTTAATTATATGGTTCTATTCCAAAATTCTGTTCTATTTTTATTAATAAAATTTACTAAATTAAAAAAAAAAATAATATTTCTGTTAAAACAAACTTATAATTTTCGTAAATTTTATAATTTTCAATCTAAAGTAATTTAAATCTAACATAGAATTTTATTAAAAATTTTTATAATAATTGAATAATTACGAAGAATTTTATTAAATATTTTGTAATTAGGTAATTACACATTTTTGAGGATTTTAATTAAAATTGTATTGCAAATAATGGAATTTTTATAAAGAATTTTATTAAAATTTATTAAAATAATTGAATTCTTTCGAGAAATCTTATTAAAATTCTATTAAAAATAATTTAATTTCTGCAAAAATTTTTATTGTTCAGGAAAATAATTAAAAATTCTCGTGAAGAATTTTATTAAACATTTTTCAAAATAATTAAATTCTTTCAAGAAATTTTATAAAAATTCTATTGAAAATAATTCTTTCCAGGAATTTAATAAAAATTGTATTGAAAATAATTGAATTCCTGCAAAAAAAAAGTTTATTTCTTAAGAAAATATATGAAAATTCTTGTGAAGAATTTTATTAAAAATTATTCGAAATAATTGAATTCTTTCGAGAAATTTAATTGAAATTCTATTAAAAATAATTGAATTCTTTTTAGAAAAAATCATAAAAAAAATTTTATGAACATTTTTGAAACTAAATAAATTCTTGTTCAGAATTATATTATTTATAAAAAATTTAAATCTTTCGAGAAATTTTATTAGAATTGTATTTAAAAATAATTGAATTCTTATTAAAGAATTTTATTAAAATTTTTGAAACTAAATGAATTCTTGCGAAGAATTTTATTATCTATAAGAAATTTAATTCTTTCGAGAAATATTATTAAAATTTGATGGAAAATAATTAATTTCTTATTAAAAAGTTTACCAAAATTTTCAAAAATAATTCAATTCGTTCGAAAAATTTTATTGAAACTTATAAAAATAATTGAATTCCTACGAGGAATTTAATTAAAATTGTATTAAAAGTAATTGAATTCTTTTTAAAGAATTTAAAAAAAATTTTTGAAACTAAATGAATTTTTGCGAAGAATTTTATTATTTATGAGAAATTGAATTCTTTTGAGAAATATTATTAAAATTTTTTAAATAGATGAAATAAATAAATAAAAATTGGATTGAAAATAATTAATTTCTTATTAAAATTTTATCCGAAAATTTGAAAATAATTAAATTCTTTCAAAGAATTTTATTGAAACTTATAAAAAATTAAAAACCATTAAATTCTTTCGAGGAATTAAATTAAAATTGTATTTGAAAATAATTAAATTCTCATAAAGAATTTTATCAACATTTTTGAAAATAATATTAAATTCTTGCGAAGAATGTACCTAATTATTTATATAAATATTAAATATTAAAAATAATTACTTTCTTATAAAGAATTTGATTAAAATATTCGAAAATAATGGAATTTTTCGAAGAATTTTATTGAAATTTTTAAAAATAATTAAATTCTTCCGAGAAATTTTATTAAAATTTGTAAAAATAACAAAAAAGAATAATTTAGTTAAAAAACACATTTTCTAAAATTAAAAAATTTGAAATTACTGAAAAATATCAAAAATTTGGAATCAAGACAAAAATCACTTAAAAATAAATAAAAATTATTATTCCACTGCAGAATTTGAATGAGATTTGAATTTGAACTCAGTGTAAAATGAAAAGTTTATAAACCTGGTGTTAGTAACTGCAAGCCATTCAGCATGCGTGACTCGAAGCTTTTGATCGAGCTGAGGGAGACGAGCTTCTAAGCTGGGGGGTAAGCTCGGCAAAGCTCGTGGATCTGGTGGAATCTGATGGACTAACAAGCCAACGTGATCATCGAAGCTGCCCTTATAATCTTCAGCCTGCAAGCAAGAAATGTCAGTTTAGTTCAAGAGAAAATATCAAAGGACATTAAAGCTTCGATTACGAGCAATCTATACGATTTATTGAGATATAAACTTGATTCATCTCATCTACTTTAAAGACCTTATTCCCCAGAGATTTTCATCCTTTACCCTCACCTCAATATAATCTTCAATATATATATATTTCAACACTTTGCGAGTTAAGTCCAAAATTTATGAAACACACGAATAATTTCTGAAAACTCATTATATCCAAAGTCCATCTACTAAATTTCCTTTTCCCCCATTTTCCCAAATTAAACAAAGACTGCCTTAATAAATTTCGATACAAATTACGAAAATTCGAATTGACTTTTAAATCTATTTCAATCTATTTTTTCACATTTTAGTAATTAGTTTGTAAATTTTACAATTTAGAAAAAAATAAATTACAAATTACAAATTTAAATTAACAATTTAATTGCACATAATTTTCATTGACAATTTAAATTCATTATTTATTACAACAATGTTGGTAGACGTATGTATGTAATTGTTAGCGCAGCTGTCACGCGAGATAAATTTGTATCGAGATCAACGCCAGGCATTTTTTTTCCTTTTTTTTACACTTTTCATGCTAGAATATCACGAAATAGTAAACACAAACATAAAATGCAGACACGCTGAAGAGGATTTCTGGGGTATGATTTCCGTGCGAATTCATTCCTCAAATTTTGCCCTCTCTCCTCTCTCTCTCCATATACATTCATGTATATATCGTACATTCACAGAGCGAAAATAAAAATATTGTACGTCGTCCAAAAAAAAAAAAAAAGTTGACATTTACTTTCGACATATGAAACGGTATTACTCCCAGGAACTAAAAAATTAGATGAGAAATATTTTCACGTATATTTTCATCTCTGTCATGTATAAACATTGTTTTTAGCGGTTTTATTTCTTCAATCATTCTAAAAAGTTGATATCGAATTTCTTTTTATATAAATATTAAAATAAATATCAATCAATTTTCAACGTCCATATTATATTGTCTTTTTTTCTTTGTTTCGAAACCAAATAAAATTATTATCAATATTTACAATGGATAATAAAATTTTTCCTAAATTTCTCTTTCGGAGTCCTTTGATTCAATTTCGAATTTAATTTTCTTTTTATTGGAAAAAAAATCCTTTTTCACCTGACAGAAAAAAAAGAATTGACTGAAATTGAAACCTTTTTATATGTTTGAAAAAAATGTTTTGATAAAAACGAGAAGGAATATCAATAAAAATATTTTTTTTGTGAAAGCGAATATTTGAACTGACATATATATGTGCGTGTAATGTAAGAAAACAATCAGAATGGAAGTATTATATTTTGTGTACTAATAATTTCAGGATATTTTTCTAAGATTACTTCTCAATGTTTTCAATCTCCGCTCAAGTTCCATCGGAAAAAAAGTAGTAAAGAAAAATTTATTTTTCTACACAAATTCTTTGTTTTATGAGATTAAATTTTTATTTATCGGGGTTGCCACAAAAAATCGATTTAATTTTTTCCTGACATTTCCCTGATTTCTAAAAAGAGTTTTAATTTTTTTCCTGAACCGAAAGAATATTCTGATTCACTCTAAAAATGATTATTAAAACAAAAAAATGTTTTTGATACATTTATTTGTGAATACCTTTGATTGAAAAATTATTCGATGCATCAATATTTTTTTCAGATAAATATTAAATAATAACTATTATTTTTTTTATTATTTTTCCATAATAATTAAAATTTTCAAAAAATTTAAATTTCAAATCTTTTTGAAATTTAATAATTTATCAAAATTTACCTAAACTGTAACTTTTCCAAAATTATTTCTTTAATTTCAATATACATTATTTACGAGAACTTTTAACTGAAATTCTTCTCTAAATCAATTATTAATAATAATTCTTGAGAAAATTCTCTGAGAATTAAATTATTCAAAGAAAAAAATAAAATTTACCATAAATAATTCTAAAATCAACTCGTTCACAATTCAATTTCACGAAATTTCAATAATTCGACAATTTTTCAATTAATTATATATATTCAAAAAATTCTAGTTTCATTTCAATTCATTTGTGGCGATTTAAAAAATTTATTGTAAGGCAAACAAAGTAAAAAATTTAAATAGAATTAAATCTTTTATGTATATTTTATCTATATACTCTTCCTGATTTTTCCGATCACTGGCAAGAAATTTCTTATGAATTCTCAGAATTTAATATTTTTCCTGTACTTTTCTTAAAATTCCCTAACATTTTCCTGAGATTCCTGACTTTCTCCCGAATTCCCTGATTTTCCTGAACTGCGGCAACCCTGTTTATGTAACAAAATAGAAAAAAAAATTGAATAAAAATTGAAACTGATAAAAAAAAATTAGATGACAATAAAAAATAATAAAATAGAAAAATATTTGAAAATACTCACTCCAACTTCTTCGTAATCTGGACGATCTGGTGCAGCTGCTAATCGATGTCCATTTCGGTGAGCAATTGCTCCACCATTTGCCGCATTGGTCCCATGCCTTTCGTCTATGAGAAATATTTCAGTGAAAACAATAAGTCCAAAGACGGCAAAAAACATGACCACAAGCATAAAGGACATATTTGCCCTATCCTTGAGAACTCCTGCATTGCCGCGTCCTCCTCCGCTTCCAGATTTTCGTGTACCCATTTCTGCAATCAATCATAAGCAAAATTTCATTTATTCACATTTATTTACAGGGTTTCTACAAATTTCTCCTTATAAAATTCCATGATTTCCAGGTGATAAATGATCAAATTTCCATGAAACATTAAAACAAAATTTTTCTCAGTTAAGTCAGGTAAATGTCATGAAAAAAAATTTTTTGTCAGGGAAATTAAGAAAATTGAGACTTTTTCGACTTTTCTTCCAAACATTGCAACAAAATACCATAATTTTTAGTAAAAAAGTGCAACTTATTTTGATTTTTATAATGCCAAAAATTACTATAAACAAATCTTTCAAAAATTATTTTTGAATAGTTAAAATTTTGTAAAATTTGATTGAAAACAAATAATTTATTTCAAGTGTTTTGTTGCAATTTTCAAAAATTAACTTTTGAAGAATTTTAATTGCAAATTTGGAAAATAATTGAATTATCCAAAATTTTAATGAAAAATCTTTAAAAGTAAATTTAAAAATGAAAATAAGCTTTTAATTTTTTAAAATTCAATATTCTTAATACTTTCAATTACATATTTCCAAAAATAATAACATTTTAGAATTATTTTTAACATTTTTGAGAAAACAATAATGTTAAAAATGTTTAATTAAAGTTTATCAAAAAATTCAGTAGTTTTTTTAAATTATACAAAAATTCTTTTAAGAACTACAATTATTTTCAAAAAATTACATTTAAAAATATTTTTAAAAAACTAATTATTAGAATTGTTTTGTAATAATTTTTTAGGTTTCAAAATTTACTTTTTGGAATTGTTAAAATTTTTGAGAAATCAAGGTCCTGTTTATATTTAAAATTCTACAAAAATTTGATCATTTTCAATTATACTTTTCAAAAATTCAATTATTTTTAAAAGATTTTACCAAATTTTAATTGTTTGGAAATTTTTCAAAATTAAAAAACTATTATCGTTCAAAAATTATTTTAAAATATTTAAAAAAAATTAATTGTAAGAATTTCTTTATTATAATATTTTGAAAATATTATAACTTAATAACTTGTGAAAAAACTATGGAGAGTCACAATTATTATAAAAAATTGAGTTTATGTATTTAACGACATTATTTTTTAATTTTTGAAAATAATTGAATTTTTGCAAAGAATTTCATTACTTTTGAAAATAATTGAATTTTCCCGATGAATACTATTATTTATGAATATATTTTATATTTGCAATGATTTTTATTAAAATTCCTGAAAATAATTGAATTTTGGAGGAGAATTTTGCTATCCTTATATTTATAAAGATAATTAAAATCTGAACGAGATTTTTTTTAATTTTGGAAAATAATTGAATTTTTACAAAGAATAATTTTATAACTTTGGAAAATAATTGGATTTTTCCGATGAATACTATTATTTATAAAAAAAATTGAATTTTGCAAGGAATTTTATTAAAATTTCTGAAAATAATTGAATTTCTAGGTAGAATTTCAATATTTATCAAGATAATTGGAATTCTTTCGAAGACACCAAAATTCAGAATTTTCTTTATGAATTCTAGAAATTGAATATTTTTCCAGTACTTTGATTCTTTTCAGAAATACAATTATTTTCGATAAATTACATTGAAAAATATTTTTAAAAACTAATTATTAAAATTGTTTTGTAATAATTTTTTAAGATTCAAAATTTACTTTTTGGAATTGTTAAAATTTTTGAGAAATCAAGGTCCTGTTTATATTTAAAATTCTACAAAAATTTGATCATTTTCAATTATACTTTTCAAAAATTCAATTATTTTTAAAAGATTTTACCAAATTTTAATTGTTTGGAAATTTTTCAAAATTAAAAAACTATTATCGTTCAAAAATTATTTTAAAATATTTAACAAAAAATTAATTGTAAGAATTTCTTTATTATAATTTTTTGAAAATATTATCCCTTAATAACTTGAGAACAAACAATGGAGAGTCACAATTATTATAAAAAATTGAGTTTATGTATTTAAATAATTGAATTCTAGAAGAACTTTTGTAAAATTATTTAGATTAATTGATTCAGAGATGAAGTTCAGTTGAAAATTGTAGAAAATAATTAAATTCAGGAAGGGTTATAATTGTAATTTTTAGAAACTATTAAAATTCATAAATTTTACTCATTTTCCGTAAACATTAATATTTTCCTACTGTAAAAAGAATTTCGTTAGGGAAAGTAATTTTAATGCCGCAGTAAATGGTCAGGGAAATTGATAAACTGAAACTTGTGACCACCCTGAGTAATAAAGGAGCGCGAATTTCAATCACACGGGTTTACAACAAAAACTAAAAAAATCCCATGATCCGATTAGAAATTCCATGATTCCATGAATGAAAATGAAATCTCATGACAATTCCATGATTTCCAGGTTTTCCATGACTTGTAGAAACCCTGTATAATTTACTATTTCCATATTTATTATATTTTTTTGCTTCCTCATGTAGGAAGGATTTTTATTTACTATTTTATATAATTACAAATGTAAATTAGTCAGAATTATTTATTCAACAGTGAATTTGTAATCAAGAGCAAGGGATTAAAATCAATTATTAACTCTTTATATAAATACAGAAGTCAATAAATTGAATGTCAATGAGAAAAAAGAGGGAATGGAGAATTGTTCGATAAACAAGTGATTATTGCTGAATTTCATGGATTATTTACTGTCTATGGACAAGGTAGAGAGAGAGAGAGAGAGAGAAAGCGAGAGAGAGTAATGACCCAACAAACAGGTCATAATGCATGACGGACAGGTATAGTGCAACAGAAAGCTTTGCAAATGGCTCTAAATTTGGTGCACCCTGCTCAAAATATTTGATGTCAAGTCGAGGAGTGCACCATAAAGTATATGATATGTTCTAACCATTAATCTGTCAGTTAAGGGCACCTGCGCTATTTTTCGCTTTTAATTTTCAATTCCTTCACTTCTATCTCTTCAAAGAGAGAGAATTTTCATTTACAATGTTTCATTATCTCCCATTCTGTTCATTTCACTGGAAATTCAAATAACATAGGAAAACTATTAATATGGAAATATTAAATTCAATCCCAAAGGATTTCTTTTTTTCCTCCAAAAAAAAAAGAAAAAATAATAAAAGGAATTTAATAATCGATATGACAAAATTTACTCACCTAAAGTAATCCTAAGTCCAAGGATGCGGTAGATCCATCTGTAAATTTATAATTTAAGGCAAATTAAAATTGTGAAATTGTAAATAAAATAAATAAATTATATAATATATAATAAATATCGTTATATGTTACGCGCGAAACGCGAGATTCAATTTAATATTATTATTGCAAATTGCAAATTGCAAAATTTATTATTTTCAAAAAGCAATTTCATTTTATGAATAATTTCGGATTCAAAACTTAATAAAATTCATTTATTAACTTCCTAATTAACGAAATTTTTTATTTTCAAAAATTTCAATAAAAGTCTTCGAAACAATTATAAATTATTTTTTTATCCTTAGTAAATTTTTTTGAAATTTTTCAATTATTTTCTTGATCAATAAATTTTGTCAGGAATTTAATTATTTTTAAATCAATTTTAATAAGATTTCTCGAAAAAATTTAATTATTTTTTTAGAAATTTAGATAAAATTCTCCGAAAAAATTCACTTATTTTTAGAAAAACTTGACAAAATTCTATTATTTTCATAAACTTAGGTATAAAAATAAAATTCTTCATAGAAATTCAATTTTATTTATAAGAAATTTAATTCTTCTAACACAGGAATTCAATTATTTTTATAAATAATTGAATAATAATATAATTTATAAATAATAAAATTCTTCCTAGAAATTCAATTATTTTTAGAAATGATAAAATTCTTCTCAGGAATTCAATTATTTTCAATACAATTTAAAAAAAATTTCTCGAAAGGATTCAATTATTTTCATAAATAATCAATTCCTCGCATGAATTCAATTACTTTTAGTAGAATTTTTATAAAATTTCTCAAAAGAATTCAATTATTTTCAAAAAAACTTAAAGAAATTCTTTAAAAAAATTTAATTATTTACGAAAAACATTTAGAAAATTAAAAAAAAAAAGAATTTAAAAAAAAAATTAATTATTAATATTATTATTAATATTAATAATTAATAATTAATAATACATTAATTATTTATTAATATTAATTAATTAATATTATTATTATTATTTTATTTAAAAGAATTTAATTTTTTATCAATAATTTTAATAAAATTTAATAATAAAATTATTAATTACAATTATTAACAAACCCGATTATTTAAAAAATTTGAAAGAAATTTTTTCTCAAGTTCGATTACTTTTCAAATTTACAGGTAAAATTATTTTTAAAAAACTCAATTATTTTCAAAAAATATTCAAAGAAATTCTTCAAAACAGTTAAAGTTTTTTCAAGAATTTTTATAAAAATTCATTGTAAGAGTTTAATTGTTTTCATAAATAATTTAATTTCTTCGCGAAAATGAATGTTTTTAATACAATTTTAATGAAATCTATCGAAAGAATTCAATTATTTTCTAAAATTTTGATAAAATTCTTCGAAAGACTTAAGTTATTTTTAAATTTGTTGATAAAATGTTCTGCAAGAATATTCAATAATATTGTCAATACATTAATTTTAAACTTCAAAAGATTTAAAAAGAAAAATTATTAAAAATATTCCCACAGTACAACGATTGTTAGTAATACAGATATTTTGTAAATTATATAATAAAATACATTAAATAAATAAATAAAATTACGTCTCTGTGAAAAAATTTAATTAAAATATGTATATTTTTCCCCCAAGTTAGATAAATTCAAAATAAAACAGGAAAAAAATGAAAATTTCTTTCATGGCAAAGTTTTATAAAAGTGAACCGAATAAATGCCGGAAAACTATTTCCACTTAATATTTTTTTTCTTTTCTTTCCTTTTGGTAGGTAAAAGAAGTATTTTTTTTTGTAGTATAAAAGAAAGAAAAGCTCCGAAATGGTGAATGTCTTTGAATCAAATGTACATATACAGATATACATTATATTTTGCGTTAAAAGTTGAAACGTGAAACTTTATGGTTGAAAGTTGAAAGTAACAGTGGGAAAATTGAACAACTTTTACGATTTTTTAATACTTTCACTTTAAAACGATTATTCTTTTTTTTTGAAGGAAAAACTTTCGCTGAACTTTTTTATTTAATGAAAAGAGAAAAGGATTGCAAATTTCTTTGATTCAAATAAATGTGAAAGAGAATGTTATAGAGAAGAGAAAAAAAAACTTTCGCCTTTGAGTTAAAACAAATTTTCAAAAGTCAACGTCATTCTTTTTAATTAAACTGCACAATTAAGAATCGATTGTTCTGTTGTTGGGAAGACTATCTCGATTCTACTTTTATTAAAAATTTTTTTAATAAATTACTTGTAGGTATCTAGTTTCAAAGTTTTTTTTTTAAATTTATATTTCTTTTTCATTTTTTATTTCAATTATTTTCATTTTTATTTAATTTTTAACAATTTCACTTATTTTGTGTATTTTATTTATTTTTAATTTTTCCATATTTTAGTACTTACAATCAAAATTCTTTTATTGTTAAAAAATGTTTTTAATTTGCTTTTTATTGAAAACGGTTTTCAATTATTTTTTAATAAAAAAGGTTCAAATACGAATATTCTGGTTTCATACAATTTTTTATAACCATATACCTATAAGTAAAATAAATATTAAATAAAAATTCTTTTTAATAAAATAAAAAATTTTTTAAATAAAATAATAAAATAAAACAGGGTTAGTACAAAAATTTAATTTTGCTTTTCCCTGATGTACAGACAGAATTTTGACTTTTTCCTTGACCCTAAAGAATATTCTTTATTAAATATATATTAGAAAATAAAAACATGAAATAATTTCAAAAAGTTTCAATTTAACTTCTTCAAAGAAATTAGTTCCACATTTTTACAGAATTTGTAATTGAAAGTATGAAAAATTCAGATTTTCAAACATTTTAGTTTGAAACCTTTTCAAAATTTAATTATTTCTAAAAATTCACGCTATAAAATGCTTTTAATATTAAATTATTAGAATTGAAAATTCTACGAGAATTAAATTATTTAAATACATAAATAAATAATTTATTAAATAATTAAATATTACTCAAAATTGAATTCTCATAAAGAATGAAGTTATCAACTAATTTTTAAATAATTGAATTCTTTCGACAAATTTTAATAAAATTTCTAAGAATAATTTCAATTTTCGAGAAATTTGATTAAAATTGTATTCAAAATAATTGAAATTTTGTAATTCTTTTGAGGAAATTTTATTAAAATAGTAGATAATATTGAAAATGATTGGAGCAAATTTTTTTAAAAATAATAGAATTTCGGTAAAAAAATTTGCTATTTATAAAGATAAGTAATTGAAATCTTAACAAGAATTTTTTTTTTAATTTTTGAAAATATGTAATTGAATTTCTACAAAGAATTTAATTCCTTTTACAAATAATTGAATTCTTGCGACAAATATTATTATATATGAAAATAATTCATATTTGCATTGAATTTTATTTTAAAAATCCTGAAAATAATTGAATTTCAGCGAAATATTTTGCTTTATTTATAAAGATAATTGAAACCTTAATGAAATTTTTTTTTTAATTTTTGAAAATAATTGAATTTTTACGAAGAATTTTATTACTTTTAAAAATAATTGAATTCTAGTGCCAAATACTGTTACTTATGAAAATAATTTATATTTGCAATGAATTTTATTAAAAGTTCTGGAAATAATTGAATTTCGGCGAAGAATTTTATTACTTTTACAAATAATTGTATTCTTGTAACGAATAGTATTATTTATAAAAATAATTTATATTTGCAATGAATTTTATTAAAATTCCTGAAAATAATTGAATTTCAGTGAAGAATTTTCCTATATTTATAAAGATAATTGAAATCTTAACGAGATTTTTTTTAAAATTTTAATAATAATTGAATTTTTACGATGAATATTATTATTTATGAAAATAATTTAATTCTAATGAAGAATACTATTACTTATGAAAATAATTTATATTTGCAATGAATTTTATTAAAAGTCCTGAAAATAATTGAATTTTTACGAAGAATTTTATTACTTTTGAAAATAATTGAATTTTTCCGATGAATAGTATTATTTTTATTTATGAAAATATTTTATATTTGCAATGATTTTTATTAAAATTCCTGAAAATAATTGAATTTCGGAGGAGAATTTTGCTATATTTATAAAGACAATTAAAATCTGAACGAGATTTTTTTAATTTTTAAAAATAACTGAATTTTTACGTAGAATTTTATTACTTTGAAAATAATTTAATTTTTCCGATGAATACTATTATTTATGAAAATAATTTAATTTTACAAGGAATTTTATTCAAATTCTTGAAAATAATTGAATTTATGGGAAGAATTTCAATTATATATTTATCAAGATAAATAAAATTCTTTCGAAGACACCAAAATTTAAGCTTTTTATTACAAAAAAATAATTAAACATTAGAATAAATTTGATTTAATTGAATAAATATAATAATAATAATAATAATACTAAAAAAATTAAATAAAAATAAACATTTCTCTCGACTATTTATGTAAATGTGCTTTTTCAACTGTCTTTTTAAACTGGAAAGAAAATTTTTCGCCTTTAACAAGTAGAAATCCGTTTTGTAACTAAGAGAATAGTAAACGCTCTTACATAAAATAAAGTGGTTGATACTTTCTTTTTTAAAACCCTTTTTTTTCCTCTTTTGTCGTTTTCCAGCTTTTTCCCCTGACATTCTTTTTCTCCGGAACTATCCTGGGGGGCAGTTTATAACCCATGCACATTTTCTCTCGCAAGCTTTCCTCTTGGATTTAACCCATGTCTTTTCCCTTATGCACGTATATGTATATACACATATTCTAAATAAAATAATTCAGTCCCTCTCTCTCTCTCTCCCTTATACTCTTAATCCACCCCCTTCAGAGGAGTTCTTGTAAACTCTTGGCCAGTAAAGTTAAACAACTTATTTAGCGCAAGGAAGGCATTAATTTAAATAAAGCATTATTAAAATTACTCCTGTCCAAACAATTTTGTAGTTTAAATTATCTTAACAAGTTTCACAACAAATTATGTTAACATGAATGTATGAAGTCTTTACAGAATAATTTAAATTGAAAT